TTTTTTACCTTTCTGCAGCTAATGCATTTCGTACATGGGGAGGTACGTGTTTTTCTGCAAATCGCCCCTTAACAACAGAATTTGCTAAAATCTAATAGCATACATCAGCTTTGTTTTATTTTTTATTCGGACAAACTTACTGGATCAGTTGGGCAAATACAAGCAGATATGACGAGTGATTCAAGCTATAGGGTATTTAGTAGTCCATTTTTATCGTAGAAACATTGCTCTATTTATATATCTTACGAAACTAAGAGGACGAATAAGACCCCAGATAAGAGTACCACTTACGAGCCACATGTATATCATGACGGGTATAAGAAACATAAGGACTGTGCGCCATTCTTTTTTCAAATAGTGTCTATGAATAGATATAAGTGTTTCATACATTACTATGAATTGTCCTTACTGTGGTAGTTCGATACCAACTGCCATCACCTGGATGGCAATGATGCATCGGGTCAATTGTTTAGTAATTTCATGATAGTCCTTCCAAGTATATGGATTAAGACCATTTACAACCAATGGACCGGCAAGAACTCCAACAAGGAGGGCAATGACTATATAAAGGAGTGAGTAGCCCTTTAAAATGACGTGGATCATTCTTACATGCTTCAGAGAGAAATAGTCTTTCTTTCAGGAACATTGATATATACCCAAAAAAGAGTATGCAGCCACTAAATATGGCTATGGCTACTGTAAAGGTAGATATATCTCCTGGGATAACATCAACCGACATTGATATATGTTACTGAAAATGATCAAGTGGGAAATGAAAGGAGGAGAGAGAGAGAGAGAGAATGAGAGCAGAAAACAGAGGAATATATATACATACATACAAGCATGCTGCGTTAATTGAAATTTTTAGCTTGTCAAAATGCAAGTTTTAATATAAACTGCCCTGTTCAGTAGCAGGATACACACAGAAAAGGGCTGTCGCTGTAGGCAAGCTTGTTATGTTATGAACTCAATTGGCTCGGGATATATCTTTTTCATTTTTTTTCTTAAAAAGACTTTTTAAATTGTGTACCTTTTTCTATCGTACCATTATTATATCCATAATGATGATCGTATGTGTTTGCCAACAATGGAATTGAAAGAGATAGTAGGGTTGATGCTGTACTGAGTTTAAACTTTGTGATTTGCACACTGCTGTTGTTGATGCCACAGAAACGTCGATGATCCTCACGACCCCCTTTAATTTTATAAACAGCAAAATATTGATCTCCTTATGAAGCCTTTTCGCTCTTTTTCTCTTTTATAACTGTAATAAACAAATGAAATCCTTGCATTGCGTCTATAACAATGGCAGATTTGCTGATGATTACACGCCTGATCTCCAAGGATTTGTAAGAGTGTAGTTTGATTGTGTATATATAAAGCTCTGATATATATATGTATTTGAATGATAGATGAGTCCTCACGATTTTATCTCCATTATGAACACGTTTAATAGTGTGGCAGAAAGCTTTTCGCCTTATGTTCCTATGGCAACCAATATATTCATGGCTGTCATTACGTTCATAAGTCTGGTCACAATGATAGGTACCATACGCTATACGCAGCATGTTGAAGTCGTACTGGTCTTCCCAATCTCCTTTTTATGTATTACTGTTTTGCTCATCATCTGGAGACGTCGTAGAAATATAAAGGTAAGATAAAAATATGTGTAGAGTTGATTTGAATAATAATGATATGAAAGTTTGAAAAAGAAATGACAAGACTATGCGCTTGTATGAATGCTACTGAAAATGTTCGTGGGATTAACTTTAAGCTATCGTATTTGACTCCTGATCAAAAAGTATCTAATGAACCTACATCAATTTATGTAATAGAAGGAATCTATTAACCAAGTTTATCTTTTATTAATCATTCCATTCATTAGGCTATTACTATTGAATTCGACGATCGATATAATCTCTTACATCAAATATCCAGATCTAATTCGTCACCTCCGGCTTACTCCAGCTTACAGATGCCAGTCAACATTTATTGTCCCAATCAAAGTCAAGTAAAATAAAATATTCGGAGTTGAATTAATTGCTTCGTAAAATCTAATTGGTACTAGTTTGTACAAAAGGGGGGTGATGATCAATGAGAAATTAGATAGACTTTCTTTCTTTTTTTTTTTCTCTTCCTTCCTTTATTATTATTAATCATGAGAGAACCCAACTTTAGCTTCCCTTCCCAAAGCAGAGCAGCCGTTTGTATTACTTCTGCTCTTTATGATAGAAGGGCACTAGATTGCACAGCAACTTTACCATTAGTCAACTCCTTAACTCATCTTGCCTACTTGACTTCAACTTCGCCACGCATTAGAGAAATACTCTGTCTTGATGGTGGCCTTGAAAGGCTTGTTAGAATCTTGTTTAATACTTCCAATAGAGCAGATCGTTTAACCTCTTGGAAGTGGACATTAGCCTTTCAAACTGTTGTTAATGTGGGTGTAAGAGGAACTGAGCAAATCAGAACCAAAGTAGTTGATGCTGGTATGATTCCTTTTATATTGACCATATTAAGCAATACCAATAAGGGATTGGAACAAAGAATAGGTAAACATAAAGAAATATTTAATTTAACTAGGCCCTGACCTATCTTTAGATAATAACAACAACAGCAGCAATAATAATGATAATATTAATAGCAATATTATAAATAATAACACAGCAACAGTAACAGGTGAGTTATATTCCTATTATGCGAAATTTTAAATATGTGTACTTATATTTATTAGATCACTCTAAAACATCATCCATTCATAACAATACACTACGCCGCTCTACATTTCCATATGTAAAAATCAATGCTGCTCAAAGACGTCATAGACGTATTCACAAAGATGATAAAAAACATATCGAGGACCATGTGTTTCATCGGGAAGAAGACATATTATTAAGCTTGCAACTACTCGCCTATCTCTCAAAATATCCTCATATTCGAGATTTATTCCACACAGCATATGATAAAAATGTGTTTAGCGCTGTCGAAAAGTTCTGTCATCGTACTCAACCTGGGCCTGTCCAATACTGGGCTGGTGTCATCATGCGAAATGCGTGTCGAAAAGATGAAACACGAGGCGGTCTTCGACGCTGCGCCAACATGCACTGTGGAAAATGGGAAACTCAACCTAGAGAATTTGCAAAGTGTCGACGCTGTAGAAAGGCAAAATACTGCTCAAAACCCTGTCAAAGTAAAGCATGGGCCGATGGACACCGATGGTGGTGCGTGGAAAGACATCCTCCTGTTCCTGTTAATGGCGCTGCTGGTGCAGCAACAACCTCCGCAACCACAACAACCAATTCGGTTTCCACAACAACAGTTGCCAACACATCAGCAATAGCCAATAACGTCACTGCCAATGCTAATAATGGATCCAACACCGACTTGAATTTGTCATCACATAACAACAATAGTAGTCATAGTAGCAGCATTACATTTGAACAGACATCTGAATCCAACACTGAAACAACGGATAATAGATCAATACTTATGGAAATGGGCGTCCGTATGGAACTTTGAATTAATATGATTTTTTATATATATGCACATCAGTAATCTCTCCCCTCCTCTCGTTCTTTATTGATACCAATGATTTACCCCATCCTTCTCTTTTCTTTTCTTTTTTTAAACATGTTAAACCTTTTCATTCATTTTGTTAGATTAAATACACATTCTATCTCTTATGCGTCAATACAATTATTTTACAATTATACGTTGGTAATAAAAAAGGACAAATTATTCATCAAAGTATTGCTACAAAGGGAGAGTGTTTGAGGAGTATTACCCTTAACGTCTTGAATAATCTTGTTAAAGTTTACTTTTGCGCAGATCTTTTCGAAATCACATCTTCTATTAAGCTAATCTTGTGTTACTTTTTCTTTTGCATATATGGTTCTATTGCTCCAGTCTGTCAAGCGAATTTACATAAACAAAAACTGATGTGTAGCATGCAAAAACTTCCTTATTTAGGAGGGCAAAGTTTATAAAGATTGCAAGATAAGGTTATGGTTTGATGCTGTACATAGAACGCCTTGTTATTGCAAAACGAATAGTAGATTAATGTGATTGCATAGGGCAATCAAGCAACTCTCCCTTTTCAAAAATTTTAATTTGAGAAGCTTATTTATTTGTTGCAATTCATATATTACAACTTGCCTCAGTGCTTCTGCGGCAAAGAAGCGAGTATGCTATTTAAATAAAGATGGATGGATAGCAGTTTGATTTCCTTTTTTAATCACTGTTTGTGACTCTTTTATTAATCCAAAAAGGCATTTTTTTTTTTTGGCCTTTATTTTTAATTGCGGGCAAAACATAGAGTAAAGCATGGCCATTTGTAAATTTTATCAATCAGGCACTTGCAGAAATGGAAACAACTGTAATTTTCAACACGTGAAGCAAGGAAGCGCTTTGAATTCTGCCGCACCTAAATACAAGTAAAATAAATGAGTCATTTCGAAACATTGTTTAACTCTAGATTTAGTGAGACTTCTTTGAGAGGAAACCTAACAGACGAACGTCCGCAGTGGAAACTTAGTGTCTATGGTCCAGCAAAAGAAGAACCAAATTTGATTGTTGGAACAGATAGAAGCCCCGAAGAGGATCGTTATCAATATTATCTTTGTAGAAGTACAACTGGAAATGAAAGTCAATATGCAAGTGTTTGATCTTGTCCTTGTTGCTTGTTGATTAACTTTTAATATATATATATATATAGCTTACCGGCCATGACCAGCTTTCTAATCAAATGGAGGCACAAGTGAACGCGATTATAAATAACCCAACAGGAGCTATTCAACATTATGAAAAAGAAAAGTCAGCGCGTTCTGGTCCTTTTGGAGGCACTGCAAATGATACCCCTTTTGCCCCCTTTACAGGTTCTGGATTTGGTGCAACAGCAGCAAAGCCTTTTGGCACAACAACGACTGCCTTTGGCTCTTCTTCAGCACCCACCGCTTTTGGAGCTCCTGCATTTGGCACTACAGCATTTGGATCCACGAGTAGTCCAAGCGGAAATGCATTTGGTAATAAAAGCGCCTTTGGCAGCAGTACAGCACCAGCTTTTGGATCGACTAGCACACTCGGTTCTACTGCTCCAGCATTTGGATCGACAAGCACATTAGGCGCAAGTGCCCCAGCATTTGGTTCAACAAGTACATTGGGGGCCAGTGCTCCTGCCTTTGGCTCAACCAGCACACTTGGAAGTGGATCGGCTTTTGGACAGAAGGGCACGTTAGGATCAGCATTTGGACAGACAAGCAGTTTAGGTAGCGGATCTGCATTTGGACAAACAAGTACACTGGGATCAGCATTTGGAAAATCAAATGCGGTAGGGAGCGGTACAGCATTTGGACAGACTACGCCTGCTTTTGGACAAGCTACATCTTTTGGAAATTTGGCAAATAACAGCAACACGACAGCGCCTGCTTTTGGAACAACGAGTACACTTGGAACAGGTACGACAGCATTTGGCTCAACCAATGGATTAGGAAATACTACTACCGCTTTTGGTCAAAATAATGCATTTACACAACCAAAACCTTCGATTGACACAAATGGCGATCCTCAACTTGAGGCATTTGTATCTCAAGAGTTTATATATCGCCAAGTACCCGAGATCGAACCACCACCTGAGCTTCGATAACAGTGTGTATATAATAAAGATATTTTTTATTTTGATATGTATAAAAACTATATTAACTATATGTATATTTTATAAAAAAAATGTACAAAAGACAAAAAGGCTAGCTCATGTACAAAAGGGAAGAACAATAAAGGGGGGAATTTTGTGTGTCATCTATGTAACAAAATAAAGTACAAAATTTGTTTGAAGTGAATATATCCTTGTCCATCGTTTTTTTACCTCTCTCTTTTTTTTGTTATTTTTTTATATGTTTTTTTTATAATTTTCGTAAGTATTTTTGTGCTTTTTTTTTTTATCTTTTTCTTTTTTTTAAGAATAGGTTTGCTGTTGTTGTTGTGAGAGTGAGTGAGAGAGAGAAATACATAAGAAAATCAGTTCAAAAGAAAGAGAGAGTAGTAGTTGTTGTTGTGTGATAGAAAAGAAAAAAAAGTAACTTCCTTGTTATGTACAGTTGTGTCTGGCAAAGGAACAAAAACAAAATTACTGAGAAGCAGTAGTAGTCGTAGTCGTACTCTCTCGTTGATCCTCGGAATTGGTTACGAAAGGTAATAGCTTTTCTACTTCTATACAAAAAACGAAATGAGTGATCGAGTCATGAAAGAAACAATAAAACCTACTTTGAATTAAATGTTTGCCATAGGTATACTTTTTCAAAAATTGGAGATGAGGCTTTATCTTGGTTACGAGCAACTCACGTTGATCATCATCCACGACATCCAGCATTTTTTGAATAACATAGTTAGCGTACTGGTCTTTCATCATTATGGCCAATGGCAAAGTACTTTTGGATGATATTAGTATATATATTCCTATGCTGTATAGCATTCTTACCCATCAGGTCTTGGTTGAAGCACTTCTTCAATCAATAGTTGCCTATCCTTCTTTGAGCCAAAATCAACGCATTTTTCTACAACATTACTAGCAAATTTATGTTTGCTAAGTTGTAATACATGTCCTCGGATCTTTTCAATTACAAGTGCTTTATCAGCAGGTCTACCGCGTTCCAGAATGTGCTGGATTACATAGTTTCCATATTGATCTTGAACCAACTGACTTGTACATCTGTGTAACTCATCAAGCAATGGTCCCTATAATATGATTAGAATCATCAATGTCTATAAAACGAATACTCACCGTTTGATCTTCAGTACAATGTTCAAACATGCGCTGAATAACTCTGCAGCCATATGGGTGAGTAGCAAGATTATAGACTTGACCATGGAAAGCGTCAATGATAAATTGTATATGCTGGGCTGGCACGCGTTCAATTGCCTTTTGGATTACATGATTACCATTCTGGTCTTTAATGCACTTTAGCACACAACCGTCTAGTTCTTTAACCAGTTTAGCTTGTTGTTCCGTAAGCACATGTTCCAAAGCCTTTTGAACAACGCGACAACCATACATTTGGAGCGAGAGTGACAAAACATGTCCCTCCATCTGTTTGGCCAAAATTGTTTTTTGCATTTGATTCCCATGTTCAAAGAACTTTTGTAAAACGTAATTTCCAAAAACATCCGTCATCAATTGAAGCGCATTTGGCAATACTTCTTCAAATACCATCTGCTTTTCATCACTGTTGGCTGTTTCCAGCTTTTGTTGAATAAAACGAGAACCATGTTGATCACCACTAAATTCAACAATATGTCCCTCGATATCCTTGAGCTCATATTTCTTGTTTTTGGAGTTTCTGAATTCTTCGAGCAGAGGACTACGGATGCTCATGGCTATGTCGTGTGTTACAGGCGCTGGCTGATGTTGATTATGATGATGCTTATCATTTCTTGTCTTTATCATATTGCTGCTATTAAGATGCATTTGTTGTTGCAGTAATAACTGCTGACGTGCAGCAAGTAATTGCTGTTGTTGTTGCTGTATCAACAATTGCTGCTGTTGTAAGGCACGAAGCTTCTTGTCAGTAGCACTATTCGGAAGCGGGTTCTCAGGAAAGCCAGCAGGGTCAATTCCAGCAGGCGCTGTTAAAGGTCCATTCAGATGACTAAGGTTGGCAGCAGCAGCAGCGGCGGCGGCGGCGGCTAAAAACAAGGTTAAAAAATATAAAGTACAAGTGTTTCTTTTTACCTTGTTGCTGTCTACGATACGCAATATCTCCTTGGCTCCAGCGGCCATACATTGACATATCTACGCCAAGACCATTATCATCCTCAGATAATGTGTTGTACAGTGATGGCTGGCTATAAGCATGAGGAGGAGCAAGGCCCAGGTATGGACTGTTGACTGCACTCAGCGATTGAAATCTTGCAGCTTGTTGCATCTGCTGCACATACTGAGGATTAGATGAGGATGCATTGTACTCATCCTAAATTGATGTTACAAATGGGCTATCTTTACAATAAACATACTTACCTCATCGTTAAGACCAAATCCACCGAATTGGCTCATCAGCATTTCTGTCTGACGATCTAAGTCATCATAGACGTTCCTTCCAGGAGGCGTTGAATTGGAGCGGGCAGGGGGTGTTCCAGGAAAGGCAAACTTGTTACGAATTGGAGGAGAAATAGGGTTCTCATCCATTGTCATGTGTAACATGGAGGGCAAGTTGTTACTGTTTTCTAGTTGAGCACTGGCCAGTGAAGAAGATGAGGGTTGTCTGTTTCGATACATCATGTCATCATAATCTAAAGCGTTTAACTGATCACGATACTGCTTCTGGATAGCATCCAAGTCTCCTATCGAAACAGGATCATCAAAGGAAAATCCACTGTTTGTGCTATTACTGGATGTAACAGCGTGTCGTTGTCGTGCTTGCTGCTGAAGAGCAAACAAAGGAGAAGGCGTTCTCGGGAAATCCTAAGAGCAAAAATTAGAAGCTGCAGGTAAAACCTTATTAGATGTCCTTACCTGCTGAATAAGATCCACCAAATTTCTTTGACGCCTATTCGCCAGTGTGTCATCCTTTTTTATTTGGTTTACGTTATTAAATGAATCATGTGTACCAAGGCCTAAAGATGACAATTTAGAGAAAATAAAGGTATATTTCTTGCCAGGTTTACCTTCTTCTCCTTGCTGCCACAACTGCCGTTGGGCGTTTGGTTGATGTACATCCTGAGTTTCTTGATAGCCGGTATCTATAAAGCCTTCGGGAACTGCACGCTTGCCATGTAATAACTGTTGTGTGGGCGGTGCGCTGTTTGAGCGATGGTCATCAGGGAATAATGAAGAGGAATTGCCTGCAAATAAGTCCTCATAATCAAGTTTACCATGTAAAAGTGCCGCAAGCTATAATGTATAGGTTGGCTATAACAATCTTGATGTAATACTCTAATTACCTGTCCTTGAGGTTGGTTCTTTGCTTTTGGCTGATGTAAGTCAGACTTCTGACCACCTGGCGACATGGGTCGACGTGGTTGCATTTGTTTGAAAGACAATTTTTTTTCTTCAATAGAAAAAAAAGGCTCAGAGCTTTGAAAGTCAGGGAAGGTTTCCTTCTTATTTTAAACTCCCTTCACGGTCGTGACGTGGAGCGGAGACGAACAATCATTAGCCTTTTTCGTTCGTAGTCCATATCCTGCAATAAAACAAGTTAAAAGGAACAAAGAGCTGCTATGCTTAATAAAAAAGAAACCATGCATGACCCTAATAAATCAACTTGTGTTGTATCTAAACTTGATAATAAAGTAGTATGCTTTCCTTTGACTGTTCTTTTTCATAATATGTTTCCAAGGGGAGTAGCTTTCATGCAAAAGCTGTGCATATGTTTCCCTGACAACACTCAAGTCACCGATAAGCAATTATCCGTTTGCGGGTTGCTAAGAGCTTTAAGATGTTGAGCATAAGTTTCACAGTTTCTAATGCGCTTTGCCACGAGTTACTACTCATAGAATGATGGACAGCGTTGCTAAAGAGATATTACTTTAACAAGTGTCACTAAAAGACTTTTGAAATAATAAAGACAGCTTAAATAATATTGCTTAGTGTTTGATCAATGGTAGAAAACAAGAGTATTTACAAGATTAAAACAAAATTTATTCAATTTTATATAAATACAAAAATTACACTTAAATCATAGAGTTAATTTTCTTCAAGATGTCTGCCTTTGTTTCTTCGCTCATGTTTTGTAAAATACTAGCAAAACCATCCAAAACGGCTTCTTGATCAGCAGCAGCAAGAGAAATGATTTGCTCCTTTACTGCTTCACTCTTCAACTTGCTGATACGTTGCTCAATAACGCTAGCACGCTTATCGAACCATTCTGCAACAATCTCATCAGCATCGTCGAAAGAGACTGAAGCATGATCGTTTTCAAACCATTGCTTGACAAGGTTAAACATCTTTTCGCGAGACATACCACCATTTGAGGCAGTGACAATCTTGCGGAAGGTATATTCTTCACAAAGACGACGACGGACACGCCAGTAGAAGTAGTGACGAGCACGACGCCATTCGATAGGCTTACGAATTACACCCTTGGCTTGCATACGGCCAGTACGATCGTGAAGATCAGCGAATTGAATGGCAATTTGTTGATAGATGGGCAATAGTTCTTGTTCACGGGCATCCAGTTGTTTTTGAACCTCAGCCTTCTGATCAGCAGTGATATCAGGAGTTTCCAATTGTTTCTTCAAAGCACCATACTTTTCGTCCAAACGAGCCATTGTAGCCAACAATTGGGGCTTACGGTACTTGATTTCAACAATACCTTCAGGTTCAAGGACACCACCACGAGCTTGAGTATCAGCGTACATTTCCATCATGTCCTTGTTGATAGTAGGATCAACGACGACCCAGGCACCACCACGGAGTTCACCATTAGGCACAATGTAAACAAAGACGGGTTGCTTGTAGCTTCTAAGAGCATCAACGATTTGAGCACCATACTTCAACACTTCGTTGTACATATCACGTTGACCACCAGAGAAACCACGCCAGTTGGCAAAGATCATCAGTGGCAACTGTTCACCCTTGTTGAAGTCGTTGATGGCCTGGGCTGTCTTGTAAGCAGAGTTAGGGTACCATACACCACCAGCTTCCATAAACACTTGCTCGGTAGATTCAGCATTAGCAGGATCAGCTGGAACGATGTTTTCAACCGTTCTGGTCTCTACAGAGACAACGCCCATAGGAATACCACCCAAACGAGCACGACCAACGACAACAGTACGAGCCCAGCCGCTCAAAGTTTCGACAAAAGAGTCTTGATCAAAGAAACCACTGAGCCATTTGCCATTTTCGTTCTTACCGGCCAAGAAGAAACGAGGATCTGAAGGACCCTTGGGAGGAGTGTACTCGATATCACGATCGACAGGGTCAGTGCTAATGCGCATCGTAACAGGAGCGTTACGAACGGCAGGAACAAAGGACAACCACTGAACGATCTTGCCAATACCTTCTAAATCGTTCTCAGCTGTCAAGTGAGAGACACCATTCTTGTACATGATCTGGGTACCACCCAATTGTAAGTTGGACGTGTAGACTTCGCGACCAAGTACCTTATTCAAGGCAGGAGCACCTGTCAAAATGATAGGTTGACCTTCATTTTGAACTGTACGTTGACCAAGACGGACAAGGTAAGCACCAATACCAACAGAACGGCATGTAACCAAAGTAATGGTGAAGATGTCATCATAGGCACGAGAAGTTTCACCAGCAATAAGTCCAGAGCCTCTCAAGTTTTCGACACCAAGACCATCTGTGTGACCAATAACATCAGTGATACGAAGACGCTTTTCTCCATCATCTTCAATTTCTTCAACAAGAACACTCTTGGTATCGCCTTGACGAGAGAGGGTTTCATAATCGGCAGGAGTCAAGTAGAGATACTTGAAGCCAGAGGTAGGATCAGAAGGTTCCTTCCATGCAGCTCTAAATTGACCAATGAGCTCATCAGCAAGACCAATACGGGCACCAGAGTTGGCAGACAGATAGACACGAGGAATGCCCAAGTTACGAGCAAGTTCTGAAGCCTTGTAAAAGACCATGTCTTCAGCAACGCCGAATGAACCGATCTTGAAGGTGATATCATTAGCAATGGCAATAATACGACGGCCACTGGGGTACTCGGGGGTACGAAGAGTCATGATCCAAGCAACCATACCGACGGTGTTGGTACCAGGGGCACGGTCAATTTCCTGAAGAACGTTGTCTTCGTCAAGCACCAATTCCTTGGCTTCGACCAATTGGCTGGGCTGCTTAAGTGAAGGGTCACGCTTGCATGCCTGTGTCCACTGGTTCTGGACAGATTGACGGAAGAGTTCGGGGAAGTCGTAGACGTAGGTAGTACCCATCAAGTGAGCCTTGTATCGACGAGGTTGGAGCCATTCCTTGGTAGGGTAAGGAGTAGATAAGGGTTGCATGTGCATGGAACCAGGGATCTTGTTGAGTGACTTGAGAACCCAGCCGCTCTTTTCCGTCTTGATTTCTTGGTAGACATCTACCTTCAAGATGAAACCAGAGACGTTATCCACAATGAAACGCATAGGAATGATGGGCGCATCAGGTCTCTTAGATTGAACATTGAAGCGAATTTCGGCGCCGGTGACACGAAGCTTCCAAAGACGCTTACCGTGACGATCAACAAAGTCCTTCAAGGCATGCTCAACTTCATCTACCTCGATAGCAAAGGTGGGGATAAAGTTGATAAAGAGGTGATTACAGTCCGAGTTCTTGTATTCATGGCTGACGATTTCAAGTGTATCCAAGATATCGGTGAGCAAGCGGTCGCTTTCAGAAATCAAGTAATCAGCAGTACGCATCGAGCTCTTCACACGACCAGGACGAACTAAGGCACGAATGAAGAAACGGCAGTCGGAGGGGTTTTCTTTAGCAACAGCATAGTAGACATGCATCTGTCTATTTTCAATGAAACATGGCTTGATGTCAAAGTTAGACAAACGAGCCAGTTCGAGTTGATAGGCCATAGCAGGTTCAATGTGACGAATAGTTTCATCTTCTTGATAGTTTTCGCGTTCACGGAAAGTGTAGTAATCGGGATATTGGTTCTCGCGGCAGACAACAACGGAAATACGACGAAGATGAGCCTTGCGGAATTGTTCAGCATGAGCAGCAATGAGCTCAGAGATCTTGCTTCTCATGACAGAGTCATCGAAGTCGGTACCAGCACGGAGAGCAATGTTGAGAATATTTTCCATGCGAGATTCGCTAGCTTCACGCTTTTGTTGAAGCATGGGAGGAAGAGGCTCTTCTTCAAAGGCAGTTAAGATACGAGGCAGCTCGCTTTGCAAATCTTCAAGAGAGTTACAGGCAGTCATAGCACCAGTACGAATAGGTTCTTCTTCTGTCTTGTTCAACAAGAAGGTCAAGTCAGAGTAGGAAGCAATACGCTTGCTGGGATCAACATTGTTGGCAGCAGTTTGGAGCAAGAACTTCCAGGCAACAATGTATGGCTTGCGGTCAAGGTTGTAAGCAACATCCAAGATCTTGTAAGCATGGTAAGAACGGCGACAGTATACTTCAAGAGCAGCCAAAGCGATATAAGGATCTTCGTGGTAGAAGAAAGGAGGCAAGACATCAAATACGTTGAACTTGGTGTCAACAAGGTCCTTGAAGGCATCATAACTGGGTGTACGGTATTCGATGCCTCCACCATAAACAGGCTCAGTCACAGAGCTCTTCAAGATCTGATACATCTGAGCCTTGCGTTCTTCGTGAGAAGGCAGTTGGCAGAGAATCAAAAGTTCACGAGCCTTGAGTGTCACCTTTTGAGTAGCTCGGCTGTCAATTTCAGACAAACGCTTCAGAATGGGCATAAAGAACTTGTCAAATGCAGCACCATTAGCCACGGGGCTGATGAGATCAAGCAGCAACAAAACGAGGTTATTTTTGGTGTTCACCTTTGCATGAGACAAGATGATGGCCAATACTTTATCCAAGTCGTCCTTGTTTTGATCTCTGAGAGCCAAGATAACCTCTTCCTCACGTTGCTGACCACTGAACAGAATTTCAACATCATAATATTGTTCCATCAATTGCACATAGACAGCATACTCGTGTTCCTTCAATCCATTTCTGAAACGTTCAAAGATGCTCGTCAAAGGTGCAAGTGAGTTCTTGTAAGCAGTAGCTTCGGATTGAAGCTTGATATTTTCACGTGCGTAGTCTTCAACCATCTTTTCAAATTCTTGAGCAGGGAATGGACGCTTTTCAGCCCTCGCCTCATCAAACAACTTATGTAAAGCGGTCTCTAAGCGAAGAGGGATACGGCCTGAAAGAGCAGAGAAGACAGAATTCATTTCAGAGTAAGGTAATTCGGGATTGTTCAAGATGTCAGTCAAGTCCTTGACGACGGTTTGAACAAGAGCTTGGTTGTCATAACCTTGAAGAATATTTTGGAGAATGTCCATAGTAGCACGGAAGCGTTGAATTGGCTTGTCACCAATGAGATAAGGAGGACCGAAGGCAGGGACAGTACCGTTGAAGGGCAAAGCGTGCTTAACGCGGCTAGGATCATCTAAAGAAAGGATACCAATGATATCACCAGCTTCAAGTGTAGCACCAGCTTGCTTAATGAATTGAACATGACCGTCTTCGGCAGCGACGAGAGGCATGTACATTTTCATTACCTACAGAAAAAAAAAAAGAACACATTGAGTTTTTGAAGACTTAAGAGAAAAACAAACTTACTTCAATTTCAGCATAAGCTTGGCCAGCCTTGACATGATCACCGTTTTCAAGAAGCAAGTTGACGAGTTTACCAGGAGAAGGACTTCTCAATTGGGTGGGATCACTTTCCTTTTCCAAAAGACAAGTCTTACCATCGACCATCAAACGTGTGGCTTGAACTTCATCACGAGAATAAGTTGTGTGAGACTTTCCATCAATGGAAATCAAGAGACCACCATCGGAAAGATCACGTACACCAACTTCGGTCTTGGTACCGTTCAAGTAGAGGGTATAGACACCAGGAGCAGAACGAGTGACAGTGAAGTTGAAACGAACCTCCTCATAAATGAACTCAACGCTAAACACAGTCTTGAGAGTGCTCTTGCTAGGAACTTGACCTTTCTCAAGAGATTGCTTGTATTGCTGCAAGCATGCTTGAGCAGCCATGTGGGCCTTGGTGACAGCACCACAGTAAACAGCGAGCATAGTATCGGGACGCTCGGCGGTCATCTTTTTGGAAATGAGCATATCCAACCAACCAGTATTGATCGTATTTTCCTCAAAGTCGGGAGTTTCGAGCAAGCGAATGATGTACTCAACAGTTGTTCTAAAATCACCACGAATAGAGAGCTCCTTGAGAGCAATGACCATATTCTTACGTGCCTGTTGGCGGTTTTCACCATAAGAGAAGATGTGACCGAATTGAGAGTCGGCGTACTCGTGAAGACCACCAGCAGAGACAACAGAGAAGTAACCCCAAACGTTGGTACTGGATCTGAAGTTAAGTTCTTGCATCATACCGGATGAAGGCTTGAAGCCTGCGTCAGGGTTTTCAGCAGTGATACGAACGGCAATAACATGACCCTTAGGGACAGGACGACGAAGACTAGTGAGAGAGGAAGGATCTTCAAAATCGAAATCGATTTCTGAAGCGCTGTTGGGTTGAAGACCGTAAAGGACACGGATATCACGAATACGGTGAAGAGGAATACCCATAGCGATCTGAAGTTGAGCAGCGGGCAAGTTGACACCAGAGACCATTTCGGTAGTAGGATGCTCGACTTGAAGTCTAGGGTTCAATTCCAAAAAGTAAAACTGATCGTCGTGATGACTGTAGAGGTATTCCACGGTACCCGCAGAAACGTAGCCCACCAATTTACCCAATCTAACAGCTGCCTTTTCCATCTGTTCAAATATATCAGGCTTTGCAATAGTGACAGGCGCTTCTTCAATAATCTTTTGGTGACGACGCTGAACGGAACAATCACGACCAAACAAACTGATTGCATTACCATACTGGTCAGCCAAGAGTTGAACTTCCAAGTGACGTGCGTTACCAGCGAGCTTCATGATGAAAATGGGTGAACCGGGAATTTCATTTTGAACTTGAGTGAAGAGGTGTGCAAAGTTGGAAGCATCTTCGACCTTACGAATACCTTTACCACCACCACCTTCAGAGGCCTTGATCATTACGGGGAAACCGATCTTTTCAGCTGCCTTGAGACCCTCCTCTGCTGTCTTGACACAGGCCGATTCGTAAGCACGTTCAGGAACAACAACGTGACCGGCTTCGTCAACTTCAGTTTCGGTAATACCATCACCACTCCAGCCCATAGTAGGAACTTGAGCGCTCTGTGCTACGATTGTAGATGAAATTTTGTCACCAAGTGATCTCATAGCAGATGCAGGAGGACCGATAAAGACACACTTGTGCTTTGACTTGGCGAGCATTTCAGGCAAACGAGGGTTTTCGGAAGCATGACCCCTGTATAGAACAATAAGTCTCTTTTTTAATTCATCTGTTATCTCAACCTACCATCCTGCCCAAACGGCGTGTACACCGGTTCGCTCGGCAACATCAACAATGAGTTCAACATTAGCATAATTATTATTGTTTGTGCCACCAGGGACTTCAACATAGTTATCGGCCATACGGATGTATTCAGCGTTTGCTTTCAAATCTTCTGGTGTTGCCATGACAGTAAACTCAATAGCACGTTCGTTACCAAACGTCTCGTACGCCCATTTTCTGACAGAGCGGATTTCTTTCATGGCAGCCATACCGTTATTGGCAATCAGTACTTTTGAGATAACGGTGTGACCTTCGTGAGCTTCGACGAAATCTCTAACTGGACCCTGAGGAGCAGTATCGAGAGAGTTGCCACCTGACAAGATATTAGCTTGGATATGTTTTATTTCGTTGAGTTCATCTTACCCAAAAAATGACTCGGTAAATTTTTTGTGTCAACCATATTATATTAGAATATTATGCTTTAAAACTTTGTACAAGAGATAGATATATGTCCGTGTGTGTGTGTGTATGGGTGCGTGTGTGTGCTTAAATAAGGGACGCTTTCTCGTTAATGTATATGTATATATATGGATATGTCGGGTTTTCTTTTTGTTTAGATAAAACCTCTCCCGGTCAGAGTAATTAAAAGAGCAAGACGAGAAGAAAAAGAAGAGAAGAAAAAAGATTGGTAAAAAATAACCAGGCAAAGTGGTTAACTCCGAGTTTGGGTTGATTCAACCCCACTTCAAGTCGACATACACTGGCCTTCACTTTCCAAAAGATGCACTGAGTTTCAAGTGACTGCCAATCAAATACTCAATAAAGTGGCTGACAACCCCAACAAGAGGGTAAGTGTTATGCATCAGTATCCAAGACGACGAGTCTTTTGGGTTCCATATTTGATGCTATTCAACGAGTAAACAGAATATGATGAACAGTACATATAAATAAAAGGTCAACGCTTTAATCACTGTAGGTGTAAGTGATTTTTTTTGTATTTTGCTGGCTTATCATTAAAGTGCCTAAAAATTGGGGGAAACAGGGGGAAGAGTAAAATATTTTTTTTATTTCTTATTGTTTCCCTTGTTGGGTTTTGCGGAAGCCGAGATAAATAAAAATCCGCCCGTCTTGTTAGCTCTGGCCTAGAATTGTTTGCTCCTTACGTAATTATGGGGCAAACTTCAAAATGGACCCGGATGGGGAGAAGTATATTTAGTCTTCTTTTTCATCCATATGTTTATCACAGGCAACGATTTCAATTGATAGACATCACTACCTTGCCTCTCTTTTCATTCATATGAAATAGTGGTGTCTACAGTATACTTGTCAACCTATGGATTCCTCTCTGTTCAAAATTAGTGGTCAATGCTTTTATCGATCAATTTAATAATTAAAATTGATGCAGTCTTTCCAGAAAGTAAAGTTGCACCAAGTGCAAATCAATGTCACACTGGCTCAAGAAATGAGCATTACAATCTTTGGGATGGATAAAACAGTTTATCTTTGATAATTCAACCAGTCTTTCCTTCTCTCTTTACCTTTTTTTACTTTAATATTAGCTTCCCTAAAGAATTGAGCTAACCCAGGACAGACATTTGATATATTTTTTTTTGTCCCTCAATTAGATCACTCAATCAAGGTTACGTTTAATCAAAAATAAATTGTCACACAAACTTTGACATCTTTCTGGAACAAACAAAGCATATCAGTGGTTTCTTTTTGCTTTCAATAAAGAATGGGAAAGGAAACAGTTATCGACAAGTTTGGTAGATCTATGAGTGAAGAGCATATCATCGTCCTGAAATATTGAGTTCTTATCAAAAAGAAGACAATGAGACAAGGAACCACAGTAGATAGAGGATGGCCCAAAACGGAAACTGACGTTATAGGACCGACCCCTTCCAAGTTTAAACATCATTGCATTTTCACACTGCGACTTATTCAAGTTTTATTACCGTCTAGCACACTCTCAGTCAAGATTGTGTTGACACCGTGACTAAATCATTAAGATTGAAACATATACCCCTTCCTGTATTCTCTAGTTTGCTTCTATTACAATGTGTTAAAGATTGGCTGGGAAAGAGACAATCAAGTCAGCTGGTAAAAACTGAGTTCAAAGACTTATTGCCAAGGATAAGAAGCCATTTCTCGGTTATCAAACACATTATCAATATAGACAAAAATATTTCCAATTTAGATTGCAATTGTTAAGGCTGTGAGAATTCACGCAAGAAATACAATGAGTACATTTGTCTCTTGTCCTTTCACTGACTCAATTTTTCAGCAAAGATCAATGAGGGGAACTATACCCAAGCGAGAATAAGTCATAAATCAAAGAGTTCTAGATGGGATTGATTTTGAACTGTGCTGTGATTTATAGTTTGCTTTATAAATTAGATGGTGAATTGATTGATGCGACAGCTGAATTTTCTGTAATATTTTTATAAACAGCAAGCAACACACTTATCAAAGAGCATCAATCTTTAAACTGAGATATGGAGAAGAAAAGAATAACGAGGAGCATGATAAACAAGAGGAGAACAACGATGACAATGATGAGCAAGATGAGGACGGTGTCATATTTCTATGTTTATATCAAAGAAGATTACACTCTTTGATGTAATAGAATCAATATATATATTTCGTACACAAGCCAAAGTCATCTCAAATATTAACATAGTGCCTCACATTAAGCATACAACACTGATGCATGGCGCCTATAGTTTGTAGTATTTGATTATGCGTCATATATAATATGCAATTGGCTGACATCATATATCCTTGCATATAAAGATCAATTTCCTTTTTGCCATGGATCTATTTCTTTTCTTTGTTCATTAAAGGATTATAAAGAGACTCATTCCATCTAGTTGTATTCTTATGTTTCGAGTTAAAACTACTTATTCATCAATAATATCACCGACGGTAATCAACAAGAGAGTGAGCAAAACGTGAATGATCTGTTTAACAAGCTCCGTATAATCGTCAAAGATAGAATCCTCAGCAATATCATTCTATCTCCCGTCTCCGATATTACATTTAAAAATGAAGATTTGCTCTATGTTTTATTAAACACGGTATCAAATTTCAATCAATTATAAGGATGTGGAATTGAGGAGCTTTTGTCTCCTAAAAAATAGTAATCTTTTAAACAATAAATACAGAAGTACAAAGCGGAAATAGGTGACCCCTTATTATGAAGATGAATGAATGCGAAATGTGCAGGCCTCCACCGTCAAGTTCAGCCACAGTAAGTATGGATCATCTTTTTGATAATTTATGACAATTTCGTTTCGACAAAAACACCAACAGAATTACCCATTATTTTGATGATGAAAAAGCAGTTGAAAAATACAGGCCTTTTTTAAATTACCAATTACTACATCTCGTTCAACAAGTTACCTTCAAATTCTGTATCAAGCAGTCTGATCAAATCATGGGTAGTACTTTGAAAACACGTACTTGTCGTACAGTTGCTAAAATGAAGACAAAAGATGTGGTGTCACCCATTCCTTTAGTTTTGCATATTCTTCAAGCAGCAAAAGCAGCCTCACTCACGAGAAAAAATTAATAGATCAATGCGCATAGAAAGCTATGAAAGGGATATAGAATATAGAACACTTTGTATTTTATTGTTATTAATTTAAAACTACGAATAAAAAAGCACGGCTCAGAGAGTATTGACCACATCTGAAGTCGAAATGGAGGCAATCAAGGTTGAATTAGGAACGATATTCAATCCTCAAATTGGCAGTGGAACGACTGTATGTCAATATGAAATTAGAATTCCTCAATCATGCATTTGTCTGAAATGTTGACTTGACTAATCAACATTTGTCTATTTTACTACTATTAATCTGTTATCTTTTTCACATGAAAGTGCACAACTTTAACTTTTTGTATTCTCAGCCACTCTTGTTCCCCTCTTGTCTCTCTCTGAATAGAATGTAAAAAAAAAAGCATATTGTTAAAAGAATTGAGTTGTAAATTTATGCAGACTTCTTTTTCTTCTCTTTACCCTTTTTAAGCTTTGACCTCATTTCAGAAAACAAATAAAAAAAAATGATGCATTTAATAAATAAACAATCGAAAATTGTGTAACTCGGTAAAATTAAAAACTTCCATATATTTATTGTTTATGTACAGAATTATAAAAATATACATCATATAAAAAAAAAGTTGTCATCATCATCATTATTATTATTATAGCATAACTTGATTAGTACTGTGGCATAAATCCATAGTTAGTTCGAAATGTAGTAGGCTTATCAGGAGACCAGTGTGGCAAAAAGGAATTGTATTCCTCATCCTTGTCGTCTCTTTGTTTTTCTCTTTTGTTTTCTCGCTTTTGCTTTCTCCACATTTTACGAAGTTCTTTAAATTCAGCTGGTAATCTTTTGGGGCCCTATAGAATCGGTAAATACTTTACGCGTATACAATAAAAGTGTATACTTGCATGTTTTTGCATAGAGACATGAGCATTCAAGTGATTTAATGTGCCATAAGCCTTTGTACAGTTTTGATAGTTGCATTTATACAATCTTTCTACTTCATGGTATTTTCTTCTCGGTCGTTTCTTTTGTTGAACTCCCGGTAGCGGAACAAATGAAAAGACTTTCTGGTGGTGGTTTGTCAGAGCGTCACCCGACATCAAAACGCTGTCGATAACAGATGTCGGAGGTGAAGGGAGCTGGTGTGAACGAACCGAGGGTGGGTGAAAGACATCATTATAAGGCAGATGTTGGTGTACCATGTATACGTCGTCAAAGCGATGACCGAGCGGTGGCGTTTTGTACACACCTTGCGACCGAACCGTACGCGAATCATTGGCACTTGGTGGTAACAGACGTGATAGAGGGGGTAAAGACGTGTTTAGGTCGACACCCACGGCTGCTGCTGCTGCGGCGGCGGCGGCAGCGGCTGCAGCTGTAGAATTAACGGTCGAATGTAAAGGAGCGGAGGTGTTTAAATAGTGATTGTTATGAACAGGGGCTGATTGCTGATGAGTGTAGAATGGATGACCTCTGGGATCATAATAATTGACGCTGGGAGAAGATGGTACTCGAGGTGCTGTCACAATATTATTGTTTTGAATCATTCTAAAAAGCAAAAAGGAAAGTAATAAGCCTGTTTTAAAAAGAAAAGAAGAAAAAAAAGAAAGGAAGCAAGAGAGATCTTGTCTTTTAAGCACTATACATCAAGTGTGGAGTTTATAAATATAATATTGAACTCAAATCAAACTTAACCTCTTTAAGTTATTTAGATTACACTTAATATAATCGACCACCCAATAAAAAAAAGATGACACGCCCCCCCTCGCTTTTGAACCAACTTGTAGATCCCATAATCTTGGTTTAGACCTGTACGACGTGAATTGCCAGAAATTTTTTTAGTCTAAAAAGGTGATGAAATGTCGATCTTTTTGTATTTTATTCTACATTTCCTAAAGCGGTTATGTGTTTATCATTTGACGTTATTTATTTTAATATGTTCACATTGATTTGTTCTCTAAATCTACAATAAAAACATGTGTTCAATACAGTTTTACTCTAGTGTCTGAACAATAAATGCAGAAAATAAGTTACAGTACTGATTTAGCAGTCGCTTAATAGGGCGAGAGGTCAGCTGAAAAAAGATGACCCCTGCAAGTGTTCAATACATGTCATTGTGTGATAAAGGTGAAACGTATATGAGATTTGCTTCTATAAAAAGAACTACCCCTTTATCTTTTTTATAATATAAAAAAGGTTCAAATAATGCTGTTTGACAAATTAGGATAATATTTTACCCCTTCTTTAGACTCATTCAACCTATGCCTATTTAACTCACACACACACAATCGAGTAACTTGTCTTTTTGGGCAAATGAATAATTACTATGCACATTTATTTATTTATTTATTCTTCTTTTCCTTTTGTTATAGTGACTATATATGTCAAGTCTTTTTTTTATCTTTATCACTTTGACTCGTAGGCAATTCGGTACTGTGCGCCAGAGGAGAGACAAGAGAGGCCTTTGCTACTGTTTGATCATTGGCATTCAGTAGAGAATGAAGGTACTGTTGTTGTTGCTGAACGATATCACTTGATATCCAACCAATGCCTGTACCGCTTTTATATATAAGTGCAAGTCAATTGTATATCTTTATACCTTTCTTCCCATTCTTCATCCATCTTTTGCATCATCAATTCTAAACTTTCTCGCTGTCTTTCTAATACATTCAACTTTTCTTGATACTCTAATTCGTTCTTATTTTCCATTTTTTTCATTTGCAAAAATATAGAAAAAAGAGAAAAAAATATATATACAAAGCATGTGTTTTTCTTATACTGAGAATAAAGGGGAGGGAATAAACATATTTTTTATTGACTAATTTAAACTCTAATTTTCATTATTTTCTAAAGTGCTATTAAGAATTGTCTTTAAGAAGCCACAACGACGTTCAAGCATACCAAGAAAGTCATGCATCTGTTCTCTATCCATTTGAAGTAATAAGGAGACAAAACGAGTGTCTTCAGCTTCAAGGCCCGTAAAGGAATGCATCTCATTCTGGGGTTCTTCGCTTGCCCAATCACGACGACGTCTTTGAATCGTTGTCTTGCGCATTTCTGCAGGTCTGTCACGATGATGAAGCTTGGCATAGAGACCACAGGCATTACAGACAGGCTCGCCACGCTCATTCTTGCGCCATAAGGGGGTTTGAGTCTGATGACAGTTGGCACATTCTTGATTCATTTCTGGCACCTGTTCACTCACAGGGGAGGCAGGGTAAGACATCTCTGGTCTCACGATCGTCACGGGTAAGCTGCGATCATAGGGATGGGCACGAACGGTATGAGTCTTGTTTCGAACATGAAGAGGACGATGGTGATTATATTGCTTGTAATAAAGACCACAGGCATTACAAAGAGAGTGCTTGCGATCAGGAGTTCTTCTCCAAAGAGGGGTCTTGGTCACCTTGCAGTTAAAGCATTCCAACTTGCGAGGAGGACGATTGGTCTTTTGGTTATTGATCTTGATGGCCATGGTGGATTGACCTTGCAGTTGATTCTTCTTGTTCGTACGTGGCTTGACAGGCTCCATGGTGGGCTGTGGTGTGTCCGTAGGTGATTGTTCTTGGGTTGCTTGCTGAATGAATTGATCAAGAGCATCTAATTGGATGGTTGATTCATCACCAGTATTTGACAGGAATTCATCAAGAAAGCTATCTTGAAGTAAAGTGGTAGGGCTATCCAAAGTCTCGGAGGCAGATGAATCCGGAGAGGAGATAGGAGAGGGATAGACCGAACCAAGAAGTTGATCCAAAGAGGAATCCTTAAAGATATCAGTAAAGATAGCAGAGTCCTCTTGAGGGTACTGTTGAAAGAGTAAAGGGTCTTGATAGGTAATTGCTTGATCGATGTTCATTGCGCTGATGGTATGATTGTTGTTATCACTGATAAGAGTATTCATTGTTGTAGTAGTAGTGTTTGTAGTAGTATTTGTAATAGGAGCAGTATTAGTTGTAATAGCAGTCATTGTAAGTTTGTTTTCTGTTTCAATCTACGTCGTTTCCCACGTGTTTTCCGTTAAACATATAATAGTAGGCCATTTTTTTTAAAAGGGGGATTTAACTTATTCTTTCTTTTTTTTTTTATAAATTAATTAAGAGAGAGATTTAAAAAGTGAATTAAAAGGTGGTAGCGTACATTCTTGATATAATGGTACACTACAGATAATAAACAAAAAGAGGTGGGGGTTTTCAAACAATAATAATTAATTAAAAGAGAGAGAGAGAGAGAGATAGAGGGTTTATACAAGGGTGCAGAATAAAGTAAAGTAGATAAAAAAAAAAGAATAAATCTTCTTGAAGAAGAAAAAGAAGAAAAAGAGTAAAGGAAAACTTTTTTCAATCTTTTTATTTTTTTTAGTCATCGCCATTTGAATTGTAAAGATAGAATCGGAGAAGTGATAGGTTATCCTGTACTTAAACCTTATGATTAATTCTGTAGCGAACTGAGTCAATAACAATGACTCCAACTCAATCTCACTTTGCCTATTTGTCGTATTTTTTACTAAAATAGAAGTAGGGTAAAGTGCAAGTCTTATCGAACCAATCAAATTGATTAAAAATAGAAGGAGAGAGAACAAGAAACAAAGTAGAAAAGCACTCTTGTGAACAAATGATATTCAAGCAAAAAAAAAAAGAGAAAGAAAGAAAGAAAGAGAAGGAGAAAGTAAACAATAGAGGCCCTCTTTAATTTCATATTCTTCCCCCCTTTTTTTTTGTCCTTTTTTATCCCTTTCTTTTTATATGAAAACATGTAAAGATTGATGATCTTTGTCCACTTGATGATGATAATCTTGAATCGTTTTCCATAAAAGAACAAGGTTTTAATTTGCGTCACTTTCGGGTAAACAATTTATTTATTCATCTTTAGTCTCTAATCCTTCAATGAAGCTATCGTCCAGGTCACTTGTATTTTCCTCCTCTTTCATCATTTCTATACGCTTCTTCTTCTTTTTCAATTTAGCCAATAAATTCTTGGCTGTACTGAATACACCTTGTGTGGCCATCCCACAGGCAAAACACTTGGGTGTCTTTTGGTAGTTTTTGAGAGCACATGATTCACAAAAATAGTGATGACACCGAGTCACAACTGGGTTATCAAATTCTTGTCTACAAATCAAGCAGGCAAATGGTAATTCTTCATCATCAGAGTCTTCTTCGTCAGAGATAACATATTTATTGGGATCGTTCGCTCCAAACTGTCTTCCACTCTTTTGTGCTTCTTCCCATTCTTTTTCTAATTGCCAGCCTGTCTTGTAATCACCACGATCATGCAAGAATATACATGAATCTCCATATCCACAAAACCCAGTCTCTTTATAATCTTTACAAACATCAGGCTGATAGTCAAATCGTGCTGTCACTCTCAGATTAGCAGGCGCACGTTGTGGTCCAACTGACATTTTCGAATTCAATGCATTCTTTTTATTGTTGTCTTTCTTTTGTTGAATTTCTTTGTTTTCTAATTCCCATTCTGTATCGTATCGTGTTGCGTCATTCTTTTTAATATCAGTGGATTTGTCTGCTGCATAATGAACACCAAATCCATCTTCTTCTTCCTCGTCTTGATTATTATTATTCTTTCTTTTCTTTCTTGTGCTTTGTACAAATGGATTCAAGCCTGTCTTTCGAGATTTAGTCACTACTTCAGACACAGTAGCTGATCCATCCTCATCCTCTTCAGAATCAACGTCTTCGTCAGAATCTTGTTTTGTTGTTGTCAATTTACGTTTTCGAATATTCTTATTTGTTGAACGTTTCTTGAAGAAATTGACCTTTTCTTCTTGCTGATTAATCGGAACAATCTCTTCTGCCATGTTTTTTTTTTTTTTATTAGAAAGAAAAAGAAAAAATATCAAGCTGTAGCAAAAATAAATAAATGTGCATTAATAATATATTCCTTCTTTATCCAATTGGATTCTTCTCGTATTAAAGAATAGTGTTTATTAAGTAAACATGTCACCAACTAACCATATTAGCATCAAATTCAACCTCATCATGACAACAGATATAATAGCAATCTTCATTATAAAACCTGTCTGCCAAGATCATGGCCTGTTCAACAGTGATCTCTCTCACTTGTGCGTCTTGTACAAAATAGTATCTACATCTCTTGTCGGTTGTTATGACTACGAATGCCACAAATACATTCAATGTTAATTTCTGTAACCGCAGATCTTGAAGGTTTATCCATTGTCTGTCATTTGTATAAATACTACCATCGGGACTGTGGCGGACAATACGGACATCACGTAGATACAATTCTTTTAGGTTCGGACAACTGGCGGACAAGCACTGAAAGAAACCGACGTCAACAGTAGCTGCATGGATTCGCAGACTGTGAAGTGATTCATAGACATAGCCATAAAATGACAGCAAATGAATGGAAAGCTGTAACTCCTGTAGCTGATGACATCTTTTGATGAATAAGCTGATAGAGCGTGATAGTTTGGTAGGCTCGGCTGGAGATTCTATACATAACTCATGGATATTCAACGCAAACGGGTCGTCAAGTAATCTATCTGGCCGTGGTCTATTCTTAGTCGAACTCTCCAAAGTTGTTTTTATCGATACTGTCTGAGAATAGCAGCTATCGACAAGGATTTCTAGAAAATTGCGTCTGTTTGTAAACATGGAGGTCGCTCTAACGTAATTGTTAAAGCATTCGCAAATATTTGAGATTATTTCAAAGTCTTGTCCTTCCTCTTCCTTCTCTATTGACATTTCCACACTGAACGACGTCTTGGGTGTTTGCATCAGAAAGCCAAGCAGTTGACTATAGGTTGCAAACAGAGGTCTACACAGAGGAAGAGGAATAATAGTGAGCGATATATCGCATAGATTGACAAATCTTTTTGTAATAAAGTCGATTACTGTTCCAGATATGAATGGCCCGTGAGAATTGAAATGGATGGATATTAAAGAAGGGTACGGGCCAAGGATGTTTCTGACGTCTATATCTTCATCTATGTTAATATCTGCATGGAACTGTGATAAATGAGCACATGAGTCAAATACGAACATAAGGTCTTGCATTGTCGTCAGGGGTAAATTGGAAGGTAGAGCCAGAGATTTGAGCATTGGAAAGGATTTTACAAATTGTAGGTCTGGAGCCTCTTGAAGTTCAGAAATGCTAATGATCGAATCCTTGTACTTGTAATAGTGCTTCAGTTCGAATTCACTTGAAAAATAGAGTTGTCGAATGCTCCATTTGATACTGTCACCGACGGCAAGCAAATGGGATGAAAGGCAGTTATCAAAGATTTCTCTTGATCCAATTAATGTGTTTACGTTTGGACAACACTTGACCAGCTGTATAAACTCTTTGAATGATATGGTCTTGCGTGTTCTATAGGTTGGATAGTCTATTTTCATTGCTTTAACAAATAACCCAATGTTCAACAGTCTGGTGTTTTCACATGCTGTATTCAGTCGCAAGAACTCTTTGAACATGGAAGAGCTTTTAAAGTATACACATGAAAATAAACGCTGTGTGAAAAAGGGGTGCCATTTTAAAGAAAGGAACCGAAGGGTTGGTGCTTCTGCTCTTGAGGCATACCTGAAAATGTATTCAATTATATCATCCGGTAATTGTTGGTTACCGCTCATTGATAGATTATGTCTAAAGGAAAGAAGAGAATGAAGATGAAGGACAATTTATAGAATTATCGGTTATACTCCGCATAGATGTTTATGCTGCTGATCTTTAGTGCTTTTCTCTTCAAAAAAAAAGAGAGGCTATATATAAAATCACTTTCATCTCAATCCTCTTGGATGATATGAACAATCTCAATAATCTTGGGAGATACTTTTTATTTCTTTATGGACGCTATTGATATTTTTTTTTTTTGTTCCTTGATAAATAAAGAAGAATTTGGGTGTTCTTATGTTTACAATTTCATTGTTCTTATCGCAGTTTCAATTAGCCTTGGTCAAAAGTTGTTTCTGCTCATGCCTAAATTAAGCAATGTTTTTTATTTATGATTATTATTATAAGAAGATTGTTATATCTTTATTTTCTCCTCATCCATCATGGTTGTGTTCGAACGTACGCCACGCATTGAAACAAAATATGAAGATGACAATCGATTTCACAGAAAGTTTTGTGGGTTTATGTCACTTCGAGGAGGTTGTGGAATAGCATGCGCCATATGGATTGTAAGGATCTACTGTCCTTGTTTAATCTTTCTTACAAGTTTTTCATTTAGGGATTAAACACATATATTGCAACAACCGCATTCTTGGGATTTACACGTAAAGAAAATCCAAAAAAAAGTCGTCCCGCCCTTTGCTTATTCTATATCTAGCTATATTTTCTTATTTGGATAAAACAGCATTAATCATTATGGCATCTATTTCGATATTTTTTGGCCTGGTCGCCTTGTTTATACTTTATGGATTATTTGTGGTAAGAGAGTTATTGTCTAGGCTCATCTCAGTTTCTCATGCATTTATTTAGGATCGACCAGGCCACCTTCAACTTGGCTTTCTTCTTCTCGTTCTAACAGTACCTGTCTTTCTAGTAGACGTCTTTGCCAATATCATCCTATTCGGTGTTCAGAAATCTTCATATATGAATTGGTGCGTAGGAAAATCGAGAGGGCATGTAGATGAAACGATCACGGTTGTCTTTGTCAATGGATCACAGATACAGCTTGATTATCAACCAACAAGCAATAATGATGATTTATTTAACTGTCATAAACTCTGGGAAGATGAAATCAAATTTGCTCTTGCTATACTGATCATCATCTCTATATGTTATGTAAGTTTATAGACATCTTTTGTGTGTAGCATATGATGAACCCATTTTTTAAAAGGTCTATTGGTCAGCGTGTATATTCTACTATTTCGACAAACTCCGTGGTATCATGGCATTTAATGGTATCATGCCTACTGCTTTCATGAATTATTATCCTCGATTCATTCCAAACCCATTTTTCAGAACGATGCCACCTCCTCCTTCGGGTAATGTTTAAAATAAAGCATGTTTTTAATGATAAAAAAATAATCTATATGGTACTATTGAAAGCTGTCATTTTGAGGATCACTTCCAGGTGCTAAATGTCTTAATTTTTCACCAAGTAATGTTTGTATTGACATGTATTTTCCAACACAGCGATCTATGCATTTCTGTTCACCTTTATTCAAATCGGGTTCATGGTACTTTGTGGGAATACATTTATCATGACATGCCTGTGTGATTCTATATATGAAATGTGTCAATAAAGAAAAAAAGGTCCCAACTACATATATATATATATATAATCTTGCCTTTGAAACATTCCCATGAATACTTCAATTTGTTGTTCAGCCTCAATCAAGTGTTGAGGATCTACATAATTCTGAGAGAAGCTACCACTCCAACTCATAATGTATAAATAAAAGAAATAATAATAATAATAAAAAAAAAAACAGGGGACTGTGACTTTAATCTTCGGTGTTTATTTGTTTATCCTTTTTACGCATGAACACTCTTTATATGAAGGGTCCAAAAAAAAAAAACACATTTTATAATATATTATGCAATATAGGGTATGCTGTCATCCTCCAATAATGTATCAAAATGCTTTTGTGTTATCTCTTCTTCTATTTTTATATTTTCAGTATCTGATGATGACAGATCGTCATTCACTTGTTCTATATTTTCTGATAGTATTGCCTCTATAGCACTTGCACTACTCCTTCGTCGTTTTTTGCCTTTAGATCCACTTTTTGATATACTCAAGGTGCGTTCATAACAAGGATGTTGTTCGACTAAATTGGCATAGTACTGCTGAAGAATCGGTCCAGTTGAGCAAAGACGCCAATCAATGAGTCTTAGAAACTCCAATTCGAGCGCATTGATCTCTTGCGTGGATATGCCACCCACTTTAGCATAATGTGAATTCGTACAATAAGAATCACATAATGCCTTGGATGATACTGTTACCGCTGTGATTAAGAATCGATGAACGGTGAGTGAAGAGACAGTAAAGTGTGGGTGAAGCTCACAAACACGGTCGATGTAGATCAAAAGTATCAGTAAACAGGATTTTTCTACAGAGGTGTATTTGACTATGCGCCGTAAATAATCGCTTAAAGATATATTGGGTGGTGTGCGTGAATGAAAGCGAGTGAGGTTGCTAGGTGTTAGAGGTATCAGGTCGTTATGGGTGATGAGTCTGCTTAGCATGTCAGCTATACATTATATTGGATAGTGTAAGTGTTTGTTGTAATGAATCACTGTGTAGTAGTAATTTACCAATCATGTGAGTCAAGTAATTAATGTCAACCGCATAATAATATTCGGGGACTTGAATTACGTTGGAAGCTTTATTGCTTGTGGTTGCTATAGATTCATTCATGTCATTAAATGAACAGAAAAAAAAAAAGGGTCAAGCGTAAAAAAAAAAAAAACCAACAACCCCGTCTCTCTGTTAGAAACTGCCTGATTTGGTACGTTGTGACCTCTCTTTTATTTCTAATATTTGAGTAATGGCATCAGATAGGTTGGTTCTTTACTACCATTCTGTCTACAAAGATCTTTCACGTATGCCTTTAATGCATCATCATTGTCGAATTGTTTCAACTCTTGTCCATGAACGCCACCCAAGATCATGACAACGTCAAGTCCGGCCTCCGTCGCACCTCGAACATCAGTTGCTACGTTATCGCCCACACAAATTATCTTGTTCCTTGATGACTCATTTTCCAATGTTGAACGATGAGCGATGAGGTAATCATAAATACTTGAGAACGGTTTACCAAAATACAACACTTCACCACCCATCTGTTCATACATCTTCCCAATATATCCAGGACATATCAACAATTTAGTGCTTCCATCTGGGTTCACTCCATTAGGCGCAAATACATCAGGATTGGCGCAGATGATGGGAATGCCACGTTCCAGGCATGTGTCGAGCAGTGGCTGATAATCTGCTCGTACTGCCTTTTCATCAAATGGATCAACAGGGTTCGTATCGGGAAAGAGTCCACGAATAGATCCGAGCAAGACAAAGTCAATCGATTCATAACTGTGAACCCGTTCGATCGTAGGGGCCAGATGGACATACAGTGGTTCCTGCCAGTCTGGATCGCCCGCCAGGAAGAATCGACCGGTCTTCAAGTATCGATCTGCAAATTCTTTTGGTTCCATGCGTCTCTGTTCTCCCTCTTTGACCACTGTGGCATGACAAGACGCTCCTTGTTGGCCTCTTACCTTGTATGCGGCAATATCTTCCAAAAACAATTTTGTCAAGGTGCCACTAGACAAAATACTCTCATACAACGTGCCTTCAATTCCAAATTTCGATGCCATGCTTGTTTCCAACTTGTCTTGTAGTCTTGTTGAGTTCGACAGTAGGACCACACGCTCGTTATTGTCCTTGAGCTGCTTTAGAGCAGATGTTGCAAATGGGTAAGCTTGAATGCCGTCATGAATGACACCATAAATATCACAAGCTATTGTGTCATATTTGTTTTCTTTTAATATCTCTTGAAAGCTCTGAACAATTTTCATTATAGAAAAAAATTAAAGTCATCCTTTTGACATGAATGAAAGGAAGGGGGGTTCTTAAGTAGTAGACTGTCTGAAGACAATTGAGTTTTAATTTATGAGTTTATTGAACAGTACAACAACAGACTGACCTGTTGCTTTTTTTCTTTTCTAAAGAATCTTTCAGCAATTATATAAAAAAGGTTTTCTATAGAATTTACCATGTGTATTCCTATCATGAGCCATCCTATTGGCATCCACAGATGTGGAGGTGTCATTGACTGGACTTGTATGATCAATTGAAACACGGTTGGATGTTTTTTGAGGCTGTTCCTCATTATAGGCAATTCGTTGTTGTTGTTGTTGTTGTTCGCTTGATGGTCCTGTAATTGAAGTAGGCTGTTCCATTCCATTAATAGTGATACGCTGATGACCATCTCCATAATCCTCAATCACTTTAACACCCTATCAATAAAGGTGAATAATCCTTTCTTTTGATTTAATATGTTTCTTTACATCTTTATCCTGAATCGTGGTCACTGTATGCCTTTTTCCATTAATGATTGTTGTTTTTGTAGACACACTTTTGGCACCTGATGCCAAAGGTGAATCAAATAGACTTGATCGTTGAGAAAAACCCGCAAACTCGTCAAAGGGACTATTATCAAAGAGAGGGTCTCTTCTACTCACACCCAAAAATGGATCGTCTATTCAACATTATTAGTGTTTTTTTTATTATATATGATTGATGTAATTACCAAAGAATAGCTTGAAAGGGTCTTGTCCACCAAAGAACTGTCTGAAAATATCCTCAGGTGATTGAAACTAGTATATATAAGAGCCGTGTTCATCAAAAGAGTCCTTTGTTTGGATTTACCTGGAAAGTAGAAAATAGAGGAGACGTTCTATAGTAGTAAGAGTTATCATGAGTTGTATAAGGTATATCGTCATCTGCTTGCACAAAGCTATCTCTACTATCATAAATCCTTCGTTTTTCAGCTACATATAAAAAAATAGAATGTTATTTTGAATGCTACACACAATAGGATATACTTTACGATCTGACAGAATTTGATATGCTTCACTGTGGCGAGAGAGGATTAGATTCAATTATTCAATAAAGTTTTGCGTATACCTTATCGCTTTAAACTATACAATATGTTAATAATAAAAAGTAATACACTTTTGTCTTCACTTGCCTTCTCAGCTGCTCCTGGTTCGCGGTTTTTGTCTGGATGGTATTTTAATGCCAGCTTTCTATAAGCCTTTTTGATATCTTCTTCTGAACAATTGGAATCAAGTTCTAGTATCTTGTAATAGTCCATTTGGTAAAAGAGAGAAAGAAAGAAAGAGAGAGTATGTATGGAAAAAGAAAGAAAATAACAATTTTCCAGAAAAAAAAAAAGGTCGAGAGAGAGGGGAAATGGTAAGATGCATAATCGTGACTTTTTGTTGCTTTGACCAAAAAAAAAAAAAAGTCCCTTCTCACCTTGCTTTCATGTCAAACAAGCAGACATTTATTGACCTTGACGCAACTGACAGCTTATTACTCAAAAAGGCTATTCCTAGACAAATCGTGAGCAACTTTGTTTTTATTTAAATGTATTCATTAAAGGAGTTAATTTTGCAAGATCTTTTGTGTTGATGTCTCCAAAGAAATGAATTCACCTCTAAGTGCTTCTATAGATGGAGGCTTAAACAATACTAACCTAAAGACCAGGTAAATACCAAAAAGAAATGATGGGAATAAGTTGCGTTATACTCTTGTTTAGTACGAGACTAGAGACTATCATTCGTTTTATAAAGAGATATATCTTAATGAATAAGCTCATTGGCAACAAAAATGATAAATACGCGTTTATGCTATTAAAGGAAAAGAGTGAATGGGTAAAAAAGATCTTTTTTTTTTTTGCTTGGAGTTAACAAAAGCTTAGTGGAAACCTTTTACTTTGGATGAACAAGAAGCCTGCTCATATGCTGATATGCTAGATGAGCAAATTGGCAGTACATCTTATGATAGCTTTCAATTAGAATCGTTGTTTAAAGATATCTCTGTAAATGCAAATCTAGATGACAAGTCTACTTTTACTCAGGCAATAGTGATTTACAGTAGAACCAGAGTGATTCCCGAAAGGAGTTTAAATGAAGAATGGTGTGTTGAGGTACGCCATTCATCCAATTTTACACTAGATGTAATCTATTTGCATGATTTGGATGACCAGGCTCAGCTGGTTTATGATGCCTGGAATGATCTTGATAGTGATCAAGTGCCTGGCTGGTATTATGAAATGGTCAAGGTGTTGGGACAAGATAATGTGTCCAAGGCATTATGTCAATTATTAGCACACCCATTACAAAGAGGAAAACAAGAGGGAATTGTGAATGTGATTTAGGTTTATTATAAATAAATCTGTGCTCTTTTCAGTTGATTGATCTCTTCCCTGTATCTCAATATTTCTTTATATCGTTCATCTGATTCATGACGGGATTCTTCAAGGTATGTCTTTAGGAGTTCACTGTACTCCTTTGATCGCTCAAATGCAGTCAGCAGCTCTTTGTTCTGAGCGGTTAGTTCAGCCAATTTCTCTTGGTAGAGTAATATATCCTTTTTCATTTTTTGTGACATATCGTCTGATATAATATCATTGCTGTTACGTGTTGAAGACGAAAGAGAGGCAGTCAAGACGGGTATTCTACTTTTAGTCTTGACGGATGCCATATTTTTGCTATTGTACACCTCTAATTCATTCAACTTTTGTTCAAGTGAATTGTTTTCTTGTCTTAATGCGTCCATTGTCTGTTCAAACGAAGCATTCTCTTGCTTTAATCTATCAATTGTCTTTTGTAACCTTTCCTTTTCTATAATCCTTTCTGCTAATAATTCCTTTAGCTTTTCATCTTGTTTATTCAATCTATCTTGAGCTTGATCTACCCTCTGATAGCATTCTTCGAGTTCCTTATCCTTTTCAGTCAATCTTTCTTGTGCATTTTTAAGCTCCTTCTCCACTGCGACTAGAGCAGATTCTAATTGGGTTATTTCGTTTGATTTGGTATTGATATCACATTCTAGTTGTTGATTTATCTCTTTCAACTCTTCATTGTCTTTCTTTAGACTGTCCAGCTTTATTTTCCAAGACGCATGTTCTAATTCATGCTTCTTTGTATACTCTTCTACTTTTTGTAACTGAGTCACTCTGTCTTGGAGCGATATCAATTGTTCATGCGCCTCTTTTAGTCTTGTCTTGTAATCTATTGCTTCTGCTTGATATTTACTACACTCTAGCTGTAGTTGTTGTATTTGCCTATCTTCTTCTTTAGGACTCTTACTCTTGAGTAGTTTCTGTACTGCAAGTAAGTCTTGCAAGTTTCGTTTCATCTTGGCATCCAATAATTCAAATGAAGTCTTTTCAGTTGATTTTTGCATTGCTTGAACTTGTATAAAAGCATTTCAAGAAAAAGAAAAAAAAAATAATAATAATCATAAAAAATTGGTTTAAATAAAAACTTGAAATTCAGACCGTTCTCTCTCTTTTTACTTTTCTTTTTTTTTTTTTTTCTCTCTTTTATATTTTAAATGTCACAACAACAAGTCAATATTACTGATCTCGATCTTTCTTCTCTTCAACAAGTCAAGACTCAATTAGAAGAGGTAAGAAAAAAAAGAGAGAAAGAGAGAGATGGCCGTGTCTATGATGTAACTAACTCGTGCTTTTTTTTTTCATTAGGAATTGAATCATCTAACTCAATCATATAGCAAATTAAAGACAGTCCAGGGACGATTTGCAGATTGTGCAGATAGCGTCAATAGTTTAAAAAGTGAAAAGAGTGAAGGTAACATATAAAAAAAACAACAACAACATTATATTTAATAATATTCGTTATAGATAAAACTATTCTAGTTCCTCTCACATCATCTATATCCTTTTATTATATATATATATATTCATACTATTCTTTATTATACATATATCCTTAACCACAACATACCTCTATGTACCAGGTAAACTAAGCGACGTCAACAAGGTGATTGTGGATGTAGGCACAGGCTATTTTATTGAAAAGGTAAAAACTGTGATTACATAATACGCGTTTTAACATCATATATAGTCTGTCAGTGATGCGACTACTTTCTACAAGGATAAAGTAGAATTTGTAAAGAATAATCTTGGTACACTTGAAAAGACGATTACTGACAAGCAAAGTACATTAAGAGGTAATTTATTACAAGTAACAATAATAACAACTATCTAACCTCAATCAGCCATTGTCAATGTTATGCAAGAAAAGATCCAAGAACAAGCTCAACAAAAGAAATAAATAAAAAATTAGATCTTGTCTTTTGTTGTCATCAGACTAAAACGGGGAAGTCCCTTTATGTTTTTAAAGTGTCAAGGGCTAAGCATTCTACGGGAATCATCAATGTACAAAAAGAGCAGGTAGGAATATGAAAAAGTAACAAAAAAGGGACCATCTTTGTTTGAAATCAGGGGCATATTTATTTCTTGTCTTTCCATTTTTTTTTTCTTTTCTTTTTTTTTTCTTATTGCATAAAACATATTTCACAGTATAGTAAATCCTCGTCTATTCTATTCCAAATGGACCTCTTCAGTCGAGGAAAATCGAAGGGAAAGAAAAAGACAGAGATTGTCATCAATACACATCAACCTTATTCCAGTTCCCCTCATTCTCCTAAAAGTCCCGACGATTACTTGAGTAAAAAAAGCAACAACATAAAGAGAAACAAGAGGTTAAATAATAAATATTGACCCTAGAATATGATAGGTCATAAAACAGAAGGATCCATCAGAAGTTCACAGTCTTCATCAATACCAAGCAATGACAGTGACTTTACTCATGTCGATATGATGACTGATGCCGAGGTTGAGGAATGCTTTGAACGCATGCTCGTAAGTTTTCTTTTTTTATGTAATACACATGTTAATGTTTATAAAGACAAGAAGAGGTATCCATGACGCCAACGCAAGATTAAAAATGTCATCTTTTTCAGTGGACAAGAAGAGAATCATGGTCGCTCAGGATATTCAATCCGAATCAAACACTACTCAACCTACATCCAGAAGAGGAGGCACAGATAAAAAGATAGAGGAGGGAAAGGGTCCTGATTATTATGTAAAAAAGTTATCGGATACGTCAAAGGGCGTCAATGTAAAAATAGTCTCTCATCTTGCTGTTGGATTAAGAACAATGCCTCTAAGGTAATAGTAACAGGGATCATGATGCATACATCCTATGGCTAACAAATTCCCTCAGTTGGGTTCGACAATTTATTGATATGCAAGGTCTACAAGTCATTACGGACTTACTGACAACATTGAACAAGACAAAGCATAGGCAAGTTTAAAAGTATTTATAGTATATCTTTAACACTTAAAATAGACATTCGGTGAATCTTGCGGTTGAAGGAGATCTATTAAAGTGTTTTAAAGCTTTATTAAACAATAGGGTAAAAAAGAAAAAGGGGGAGACTTTACGACTCTAGAGATTGATTTGTTGTTTAGATAGGTGCAAGGGAGGCCTTGAGACACCCTCAATGCGTTCAAGAAATTGTCAATTGCATCACATCACCTTCTATTCAATCACGACGACTTGTATGTGAAGTACTGGTGTTTATGTGTTACTATGAGATACCAGTCGGACAAGACCTTGTTTTGAAGGCAATGGATAAACTACGTGATAAAGAACGAGGATTTGGTCGATTTGATGCATGGTTAGCCGAGGTTGAGGTCACCTTGGGCGGACGTGGTCGAATGGGCAGCATGGTTGGTGCTAGTGAAGACTTTAAAAAGATGGCAGCCTATGGCTCGCCAGATAATCAACTCATTGAGTATGTCGTAAGTATTTTTAGATTCGTGTTAATTGATTCGTATTGATTTTCTTGTTTATATTAGTTGTACAATATGATTCTAGTGAATGCGATCATTAATGTCGTAGAAGATGTGGAAATAAGAATACATCTTCGCAATCAAATGAACGCGTCTGGATTAGAAAGAATCATGGAAAAGATGAAAGAATTGGCAGATGAACATGTTGACCGTCAAATCAGGGAATTTAAATTGTTGGCAGAGAACGATCAGGACGAGCTGATGGATGTGTATCATGAAAATGTTTTGAATGATAAAGATGATCCACGTGAAGTATTCGAATACCTCTTATCTACGGTAGAAGGCACACGCGCGTATGACTTCTTTTTGAGCTGTCTACAGCACCTCTTGCTTATCAACAATGAAGAAAGCAACCTAAAGTCCAGATACTTTCAAGTTATCGATAATTTAGTCGCACAAGTCGTACTGGATCACAAAGGGTTATCTGACGACTTTTCTGCAGATTACAATACGACTGTACAGCATTTGATTGATAGATTTGCTGATCAGGATCAATTAAAGACAACGCTCGAAGATCTGAAAGAGCTACAAGCCAACTATGAGGAACTCGAAAGAGAACGGGACCTTTTACGTCAGCAGCTATCTCATGAAGGGGGTAAGTCATTGTCAGCTTAAGAAGAGGCCATGTAATAAATCCAGAATATAGATGCGCTCGAAGTTGTACAGTTAAGAGAGAAGACAGCTTCTCTAGAGGACTTGTTACGAATGTCTCGACATACCATCTCAACCTTACAACAAAAACTAAGGGACTTGCAGAATGAATATGATGCTAATCTTGAGCAGGCGGGTAAGCAGCTGGAAGACTTTTATAAGCTTATAGACGAAGATGGCGCAAGCTTGGAAGGAAATATTGTGATCTCACGAAAGGATTTGGCCACAGCATTTGGTAGAATTCGTGCTCAAGCAAGCTTAGAGGGGCATCATAAGAAAGAATCTGATATCATTGCCAAAAAGACACCAAGTGAAAAAGACGAAACGAAATATAAGTCACTTGCAATGGGTCTATCTGAGGAATTCAAGATGCAATTGGCTCGTCAATTTGGGTCAAGCAGTGGGCTAGGAGAGTTTGTATTGCCTGGAACAATGCCCTTGATGGGATCAGCCGTCAGACGGTCCAACAATCGCCGAAGGCAAGCGCATGTTTCGGAAATACAGGAAGTAATTGAGCCTGAAATAGCTGATACAAACACTCTGACGCTTCGAAAGAGTAAAAGAATTTCCTCAAAAGCACATGATAATAAAGTGGATAGAGTGAACCTTGAAGAAAAAATAGAAACTGAGCTGGCAATAACGTCTACTGAACAAGAGATAGAAAAAGCAACCACGACAGCCACAAATGATACTGTGGAGGCTGAAACGTATGATAACCTTAGCAATATACCCACAATGTCAAATATGCCCATTATTCCAGACTCAGCACTGCCGCCGCCACCACCACCACCACCTCCTCCTCCACCAATTACATCTTCTGGTATATCAGTATCTAGTCCCATCAAACAAGCTTCGCTAGACAACAAGCACATTTCTTCTTCAATTGCCAATAGTAACGTTGCATCAAATAACATCCCACCACCTCCATCGCCGCCTCCATCCTTGCTACCTTCAGGACAACCGAATAATATATCTCCTGCACCTGTTTCACTTCCTCCTGCACCTCCCGCACCACCTGCACCACCTGCGCCTCCTGCACCACCATCAGCGCCTGCGCCGCCCTTACCACCAGGAACACCCAATGCAGTAGCAGCAGCACTCCGTAAGCAAATGAAACATTTACCAACCGTTAAAACGCGTCAACTGCAATGGCAGAAATTAAACGCCAACTATATCAATTCAACCATCTGGAAGACATCCGACCTAGAACAGAAGGAAGAAGCATTGGAAGAACTGTTTGATTCAGAAGGCATATTTAAGCGAATGGAAGAAATATTTGCTCAAAAAGTGGTTGCTCCTAAGAGAGAAGTGACCAAAGAAAAGAGGCAAGAAATTTACATTATTGATACAAGAAAGGCACACAATATCAGTAAAGTATGATGTTAAAATAGAAAAACTTTTTTCTGACTCTTTTTTATATAGATATTGCCATTCTTGCCAAGAATAAAAACGTATCATTTCAAGATTTTAGAAAGAAGCTCTTGGCTGTGGATGAAAGATTTTGCACAGAGGTACTACTGAGGAACCTCTTGGTGAACGCGCCTACTCATGACGAAATGGGTAAATTGTCCGTGTTTTTGAAAACTGCGTCTGAAGAAGATCTGCAATGCTTGTCCAAATCGGATGCTTTTTGTGCCGAGGTAGGAAGATATGGCCTGCGGTATAGACTTGAAGCTAACCACGCTATAGATCATGACGATTGATAGATTTAAAGAACGTCTTAACCACATGCTGTTCTACACAACATTCAACGAACGCATTACTCAACTTGGCAAGAGTATGGCAAATGTCATGGACGCTTCAACAAGTCTGAAGGAATCTGAAGCAGTGAAAGACCTTTTGAATGTAAGAGAGATAAAAAGATAACTAAATGAATAACTTTCTAACGATATATCATAAAGATCGTCTTGATGGTAGGCAATTTCTTAAACGGTACTAATTTCCAAGGAGGAGCTTTTGGTATCCGTATTGGAAGTATAAACAAATTGGTTGATACAAGAGCGTCAACAAACAATACCACATTACTTCATTTCTTATGTACAATGGTTGAAGAAAAATTTCCAAATATAAGTGCACGTCTGGTCAAGGATTTGGAATTGTGTGGTGAAGCATGTAGAGGTGAGTTTATATATATGTAAACGGTATGATTCAGTATGGCTCACAAAACACAATGCAGTTACCATACAGGATCTTATCAAAGACTATAATGAACTTCGTGTGGGCCTTCAATCTCTCATTCACGAATTGGAATGCCATTATGGACCTGATTATGAGGCTGAAGAAGGAGATAACTTTGCATCTGTCATGTACAAGTTCCGAGACCGTGCCATAGAAAAGTTTGATCAAGTTGAAGTCAGGTACACGTCTATGGATATTGCCTATAAAGATGTTGTGTCCTATTTTGGTGAAGATCCAAGTGAGATGAAGCCTGATGAATTCTTTGGTATATTCCAGACATTCTTATCAAGTTGGACGCGAGCCAAGGCTGATATTGAATTGCAACGAAAGAAAAAAGAACAAGCGGAGAAGGCCAGGCAATACCAGGAGCAGCGCAAAGCTCGACTTAAGAACAGACTGGATATCAAAGATGGTTGGTGTATACAATTTGCTACAGATGAACGTTTATTCATGTATTAAATTAGGCCCTGCAGAGAATCAAGATGATAAAGATATAATGGATAATCTATTAGAAAAGCTTCGTTCAGGAGAGATGGGTACTACCCAACAACGAAGAAGTCGTAGGATGTCTATGAGAGAAAGACGAAGGACGAGAGCAGAGTCAATGGTTGTGAGAGCTGAAGATTTACTAAGGCATATACAAAATGAAGAAGAAGCACCACCGCTGCCAAGGTCAAGAAGAGGCTCAAGAAGGATTACAAGTTCTGATAGAATGAAAAAATTAGCCTCATTGGCTGAACAAGAAAATAGATCTTCAATTATAGAGCCTTAGAATTCAGACAAATGAAAATTACTTTCAGAAAAATAAAGCTTTTTTTCAGACAAATGTAAAAATTCAATACGAAGACACTGAGGTCGTTGGAGATAAGAAGTGGATACAGACGATATTTCAGAGCGTAGTATTTTTATAGACGAATATAATAATGACGGAAAAATATAATCATACAAAGCTTATGCTCAAGAGAGTATTAAGCGATTTATTAAGCTTGTTCAGGAACAAGATGGCTCTATTGCAAAGCACGCGAAAAAAAGCATGTTTGGTTCCTAGTTCGACAACTTATGAAACATTAAAAAGCAATAAAGTTGTTGTCTCCGCTAGTTGTATAAAATGACCATCGAGGAAAACAGAAGAGGTTTCTAAAGTAAACAATGTCAGAGTTACTCAGGAATACATGCGCTTCCTTATTGATCTAGTTGACAGTAATCTTTGGTTGTCTTTATAGTTTTGATCTGTTCCAAAGTAAATAATCATTTTCCCTGCGACTTCCAAATTTTTATTGGGCACTCGAGATTCTGGTGAAAAGTATTAGACAGAACTTGACTAAATCTATCAATATTTATTTTCTCCCCAAAGCTTATAATAAATAAGGAAGCAAAAATATAAAGATGATCCAACTGAGAGTTTCTAAAAAGAAAAGAAGGCTTTAAAGAGTAGGTACCAAAATTATACATAACGAGATATCGTGCTCCTTACTTTTTTAAGATGTCAATCTTGATAACTCAGTTACATCTACTTTGACAACATTTGCTTCTACAGTATCATCTTCCAGTGCTCTACCTCTTACTTCTAAAAAGATACAGAAAAAAAATAGATAAATAACGTGCCTTGGGGAACTTTAGAATGAAAACAAAAAGCAATACAAAAAGGACATGTCCATCTTGCGGCTTGGATACTCACGCAAGTTCAACAAGCAGCTTATGACAAGCAAAGAGGTAAAAGGAGTCGACCCATAATCCTGATGAGAAAAAAGGCCAACACTACGTGCACCAGAAAATAAGCTAATATTACGGGTGTTACATGTGGACTCACTCTACAACTTCACACTATCAAAGCCTCTGCCTAGCCTAAAACTGTCTAGTGGGATATCCATTAATGTAAGTACAAGTGATTGATCTTGGTTATTCGTTGATCAAAACTGACAACATAAAGCTAAAAGAAAAAACTTCTCGTTATCTCTTTCTTCTTCTTGAAAAGAACATAAACCAAGTTGGTGACTTTATAAGAGTCATGTTTAACTTGACACTGTTCATTGAAAAGCTTTGTTGGGCGACATTATAGGTAGTAGGTAGAGGCAGCACTCGTAGTGTTAGTCTATCTTTGAGTATATTTTTGAGTGCATCAAGTGTTTGCCAAAAACAATAATTGCTCTTGGAGATGAGATGTTTAATGGCAGCCTCAGAGGAAACAAAGCGGCACCGGTCCATCTCATCAAAAAAGCTTTGAAAAAGTATTGCGGAAAGAAGTTAGAGCTTTTTATGGTAGATGAGTCTTTGACTCGTCAAATATGCAATGGATATAATAGTAGAAATGTGGACAATACTGTCACTGAAAAGAAAGTTAGCCTGCTATTTACGACATTAGCAACGATAAGACTTCTCATACAGTTTCAACTGGCGGCAACACAACCATATTTGACCAACATCAGTATGAAGGAAAGGGTTATCATCAAGACATGTATAGCTCTACTTTTGCCTCCGATTTCGACAATGCAGTCGTACCTGAACAATATGATTCACATCAAGAGTACATGCCGTATTGAAATGTAAACAAAACAATTGCAATATCGTATGGAAGCATGATATTATCGCTGCTCACAACATATTAGACATATTCTTATTCACTGCAAAAAACAACAATCAGCGTCTTGATGTTTTATGCGCCAAGACACAACGAGTGATCAATCTTCCGTATGATTGATATGGCTCTTTCATACGTCCGTACAGTGTAAGGCTCTATACAGCATTCGCACTTTTAAGTTCAGACAAATGAAGCTGTATCAGTTTTTTTTAACATGTATTAACTGTTTGTTCCTTAATAAAAATTTCCTTCCCCCTCCCTCCCTTCTTTTGTATGAATATCAATTGTGACGAATAATAGGGCGCCAGAGATTTAATCTTGAATTTTAGAAAAGCGACTTCCATATATGGAAAGAACGACATTGATTCATTGATTCTCTGGAAGTACAATCCTTATCCTCAAGTTTTTTATTTTTATATATTTTTTCTTCTGTGTATATCTATTGTCTTTATTGAAAAAGAAAGAAGAAAGAATTTTGTCGTAAGAAACAAAGCTTTGCCGCATTCAAAATGATGACTTACACTTATTAGAAAAATAAAAATGACATCTTCATTAGAGGAAACAAAAGGAGGAGGAGGAGGAGCCATCCCATTTGATGGGCCAACAGAAAATGACCCATTCAGTCAATTACAACAGCAGACACAACAAACACAGCAACAGACAGAGCAGCAAAAACAAGAAGAGAAAAGGGCAAAGGAAATAGCCGATGCATCTGTTCTGTTTGGAGAAAACGATGGAGGAGCTACTGACTTCTTTTTACAACAGCAATCCAATACAAACGCGTCACCAAGCCTTTTTGACCAGACATCCCAGTCATTCTTTGACCACTTGGGACGGGCTTCCTCTGTAAAAAGTCAAGAGTATGTTTCACAACAGCCCACTTCACTTGTTCAGGCTTATGACCCCAGCACAGCCTATACGCAATACAGCTACGAGCCACAACAGCAATCGACAACAGATTATTATTCTCAATACGATCAAGGGCAACAACAACAACAGCAACAACAACAACAGCAACAGCAACAGCAACAGCAACATCAACAGTATGATCCTCAGCAGTATAGCCAAGCAGGACAAGAGCAGCAGTTTGATCCTAATGTTCATTACTACTATGACGAACAAAATCAAATCCACTATTATGATCCTAATACAAACTTGGAATATGATATGAGCCAATATGGCTATAATTATCAATATGATCCTCAATATTCTGAGTACTATCAAGCAAATTATGATCCAAATGCTTATGCTACCACCGCTGGAGTTACTTCAGAAAACAATGCCCAGGCAGCGTACGATCCTAATGCCTATAGTTCCACAGCAGAGAATAGTGCTCAAGCGACCTATGATCCAAATGCTTATACTACTACGGAGGAAAGCAATGCCCAAGCAATGTACGATCTTAATGCCTATAACGTCACAGAAGAAAACAATGCTCAAGCGGCCTATGATCCAAATGCTTATACTACTACGGAGGAAAGCAATGCCCAAGCGGCCTATGATCCTAATTCTTATGCTATGACTGATAAAGATAGTGCCCAGGTCCCACATTATGATCCTACTGCCACGCTGGAAGCTACTCATCATGCTGCTTTCGACTCTTTTGATTCTACTGCCTATGCTCCTAACAGTCAGCAGCAGCAACGTGTTCCTGTTCAAGAAAGCTATGACCCGAGTACTTATACCACTGGATCCGAAGCTGTACCTGTACATGATACACAGAATAGTCAGCAATATAACTATGCTGTAGAAGGCTCTGAGGCAAATACTGAGGCAATCGTCTCTGGTGACGAGAAGCAAAATGCTCAAGAGTATTTTACTGACAACCAAGACGCCTATCACCCTGATATGTATTCAGCAGCTGCTTATGAACAACAAAGTGATGTCACTTTTGATTTCTTGCAGCAAGACAATACACCCTCGCAGAACGCAGCGCAACATGTCCCTTCATCAAACCAACAGGAGCGACAACAGCAAGGTACGGCAAGTGCTCAGGTTGAAGGCAATATCCCTACGGAAGTAGAATATTTTAAATATCAAGATCAACCTTACTCATCAAACGATGGTATTGTAAAATCCCATGCCGATGCTTCAAATTCGATTCAGCAAGAGCTTGGAACAGACACATCTACTACGCAAGTCGAGTTAAACCCTAGCCCGGATAATACCAAGGACACCGACTCTCAATTTGCTGAAGTGCAACTGGCACCAGTGAACGATACAGAAGCAGTCATTGCAACCACGACTGAAACCTCTCAGCCTGACCTGTTTGCTTACACTCCAATCGAAGACAAAGCTCAGCTGACAGAGTATACACCTCAAAGTATGGATCAATCCAATGTGTATGAGCCTGTGACAAAGAATAATGAAGGGGGTGATCAACAATTTGAAGAAGTTCAATTGGTGGCGAATCTCTATACACCTACGGAAACCAGAACTGTCCCACCTCAATCTTTACCAAGCCAACCTGTGCCTCCACAGTCATACACTGATTCTCAAGCACCGCCCATCACTTCTTTTGAGCGTGCAATTTCACCTGTATCCACAAGCTATATTCCATACAGACCCTCAATGGATTATGCCTCACCTAGAAGCTCTCTGGATCATCGAAGCTCTTTATCTGAGGCTCGTGTTGCCTCACCAGCGATTCCACTTGTCCCATGCCCTGATCCTCAATGTGAGGGAGAGAACAAGCCCAAGGCTAAATTCTGTTGCGAATGTGGTCGTCCCTTGGCCGGCCTGTCAAGGTCCAATACTCCATTTTCTCGATCTACTACACCCTTTGCTACCTTTCCCCAAAATACTGTGGATAACAGTCCTCAGCAACCTGTGGCAGTTCCACGAAACCCATTGGATGACAAAAAAGATGAGATGGCCAAAAGCTTGAAACAGTTTTATGAACAAGCTGCTTTGCTTGACACAGCTTTATCGAACGAAGAAAAGAAGAATCGTGTGTTGAGTTATATGGATAGTAGAATCAATGAATTTCCTAAAGAGGATAGTAAGCATTTACTGTGGGAAGTTATAAAATTGCTCGTAGAAGAAAATGGAGTTTTAGGAGAAAGGTAAAGACAGAAAGAAAAAGCCTTGATATATAGAGAACTAATATTTCTTTCCCTTTCAGTGAGCAATTGGATAAATCTATCCTATCTTTGTTTGGTTCAACCAAGGAAGTCATTGATGGCGCGACACTACTAGACAAATTAGAGGTATTTTTACTGGAAGGAGACAGGGAAGGGGCATGCCAATTCGCTATGGAGAACGATATGTGGGCACATGCCTTGATGATCAGTCAAAGTGTAAACGCAGGAGACCTTTACAAACGTACAGCCTCTCAATTTATCAACCGAACACTGTTCTCTTCATCCGTTCAACTGACCTCTCAGGTTACAGACGACAAAAAATCGTTACGTATACTTTATTCTTTATTTGGCGGTGCTGGTGCAGATACGGGTAAGACAAGTCTTATGATTTTTATTTCATTAACCATTGCTTTATAGTGAATGAATTGGTGAGAAATAATGTAGATGAGCAGCCTCACTTCTCAAAGGAATCCTTGAATGACTGGAAATTCGCATTACGCCTCTTTATAGCCAATCGAACACAAAGTAGTCAAGAAGCCATACGTGGTCTAGGCGATGTATTAAGGCAAAACGAGCTTATGGATGAATCACGAATTTGGTAAGTTTCAATCCATTTTTACATTTGAGCTACAAAACTAAAAAGGCTATATTACATACAGCTATACTCTATCACCTGAGGCATCGGTGTTATCTGGTATAGACGCTAATATTGTAGAAACATTGTCAACAGATCTAGACGCTTTGTACCTCATGGAACTGTATGACTTTGCCTTATCTTTAAAGGGAAATGACCGATCCATCTTATCGTTACAGCCATTCAAATTTGTACATGCCTGGTGGCTGAAGGATCTAGGCTTTGTGAAAGAATCCGAGATCTATGTAGAATCCGTCGTGAACAGAATTCAGTCGGATGATCATCGTCAGACGGTGATAGAAAGATTAAAGACATTGAATCGCTTCTGTGAGATGAAGTAAGATTGAAGATATATGTCTTGACTGTTACTAACTTTGTTTAGTGCAACTATTGCGTCTCTCTTAAACAAGAGCACTTTTGATGAACTAATTGGCTCAATTGAAGAAAAGACCATGGTTGAAAACAATACAGGTGATCAAGCTGGATATGGGTTGTATGAGCACGGTATGACTACGAATACTCATCAAGTAACATCCCCATTCACTTATGGTCAAGGTAATATAATCTAGTATTTTTATAACTCACATGTAATTGTTTATATTATACTATAGCCACTAGTACCTATGTCCCTGCTGAACCATCACATGACACGCCTGAACAGGGTACATACAGTTATGGCTATAGCTACGGAGATGATTATACTCCTCAAGTTGACACAAGTTATCAACCAGCCAATACCTACACTCCTTCCGACACCACTTATCAGCCATCAGATGCAACTGTACCACCTTATCAAACCAATCCAACAACTCAACCATCGTACAACAACAACAATAATAATAATGACGATGATGACGATTTAGGATTTGGGAACTCATCCATTAAAAAAAAGAGCAAGGGTATATCGGAATCAGAGGAAAATAAAGAACAAGGTGATCGCCCGAGGGAAGTGCCCAAAGATGAACCTGAAAAGGAATCTGCCAAGAGTGGTGGTTGGGGCATCTTCTCATTATTCTCCCGAAAAAGCCATGTCGAAGAAAAGAAGCCCATTAAAGCAAACCTTGGTGATGAGAACCAGTTTTATTTTGACGAAAAGGAAAAACGTTGGGTTTGGAAATCCGTAAGTTTTGCTAAAAGATACCCGATAACCTGACTAATGTACATTTTTTTAGAACAATGCTCAACCAGCTGCCACTACTACTAATGCTACTCCTCCTCCTCCCAAGGCAATGACACCACAACCTTCTACTACGTCCATGTCACCTCCTTCGTCAGCTCCAAAGCCAACAAGTATTCCTCCTCGTGTGAACTCTGCTCCAGTTGGTCCACCTAGTCATACTGCCGCGCCTCCTACAAGTGCTTCTCCAGCAGTCAGTACACCGCCTCCTGCTGGTGCTAGAAGAGCTGGTGGTGGCAGAAAACCTATGCGTTCTCGCTATGTAGATGTATTCAATCAACCAAGTTCATAAATTATATAAAAAGTATTTTATTTTATACAAAATGTGCTATATAGCATGCAATAGAGCAGAGAGAAGGAGTGGGGGTAATGTTATTAAAAAAGGAGATTAGAGACAGAGTACTGAGGATGCATCCTTTGCTGATTCACTTTCATCCATGCGAGTCGACGGGTGAACTAGGGTAGATTCGTTCAAGGTAGACATGTCAGCTAGATGATAATCTTCTTTGAAAAGGGAATTATGAATGAGTTGCTGAAGCTCTTGTGGTGCCCAACCATTTTCGATAGCCATCTCGACACCTCCTCTTTTATTAATCTCCTGTTCTAGTAGAGCTTCCGTCTTTTTAACTGACAAACGATAGGTGAATACATCCTTGCGCTGTTGAGCAAGTGCTTCCATCTCGTATTCCAAAACGGCTTCCATTTCATCAAAGTAATTCATCTTGAGTTCGACCTTTTTTATTTCGGCTTCAAGGACTGAATGCACCAATCTCCTAATCTCTCTCTCCTCAATGGAAGACAATGATTTAGCCTTAGCAGCAGCTGATCCCAGCGCTACTGATGCTGCCTTTTCTATCAACGTACGCGGCTTCTTGTTGGGCTGCTCCTTATCCAACTCCATAGCATCCTCGTTCTTTCTTTTTTGCTGTTCCTGACAGGCAATAGCCGCTTTAGCTGCAGTAGAAGCGACTTCAGGATCAACCGTTGATGCCAAAAATGCCAATATGGACATGACCGGATTGTCCGCCTGAGAGAAGGGGATACGTTTATGATCAACGACACTGCTGTGAACATTTCCATCTATAGAACGATAGGGATCTTCGATAGGTAATTGTAGGAAATGATAGATACATTGTTCTCTGGTCTTTGTTCCCACGTAGTCAGCTATTGTGTTCCAGTCATCATCATACAGCTCAATAGCTTCCAATAGTAGCAGCGTTTCTTCATCTGACCACTTTTCCGACTTTTCTTGCTTCTCTTGTTGTCTGCTATAGTGAATAAAGTCGCTGCTAAAACAGGAGGCTGGGAAACGACCTTCTTTGTAGCAGAGAGGACAAAGGTCCATGTTTTTGATCTTTAAGCTGTGATATCTTTCTCGACTGCATTCAGCACCACATGTTATGCAAAAACATTCCCTTGTAGATGTACCATTGGCTGCCTCAAACACTTTCTGTCTTAATTCAATATTCAATTCTCCCTTGGGCGCTGATGATGTACTTGGTTTAATATTTGGCTTGTAAGGGGCTAAACCTCGAGGTGTGTCTGCTGTGACTCTAAAATGACCTGTATAGGGTGGACCGATAGATGAAGGCCAAGTGAAAGGATCGCACTAAAAGAGAGTCAGATATGATGCTTTTTTTTTATCTTTTGGTTATTTACCTCACTATTGATTAAACCCCATTGCTCCAAAAAGGCATGAACTCTCATGATTGCACATACATCGCCAGCCAAGCTTCGTCTACAAGCGGTTACTGTCAGGTATTCTTTTGGATTAAGACGATATGTGTTAATCATAAAGTCGCGATAATCTTGATAGATGGCTGGCGTTTTTGATGAATTGTTGTTTGTAAAGAATTCAGGTAGTGCAACGCGTTCGATTGGATGAATTGAGTTGAAATCAAACCAAGAGGCATAGGAAGGTACTTTAACTGATTTTGTTTGTTCCATGAGATATTTACGTGCCTCAACTTCAATGACTGAACGAGTTGTTGTCAATGGTTCTGTCTTGGTTGTAGATTGTTCATTATTTACATTATTCTCTGACTCAGAAAGATGTGCTTCCTTTTTGATGTTGTCTTTTGGTGAATTAGTATCCATTGATGTCGATTGTTGCTGTTCCATTGATATCAAAATAAAATAAAACAAAAAATAGTTTTTTAATAGAATGACGCAGATTGGAATTCATCAACCGCCACCTAACTATTTGTAGTCCAATAAAAAGACAGAGAAAAGGGGAGAGGAAGAAAGAGATACAGAATGATAGAAAGAAAAGAGAGATAGAGTATGAGATAGAGAGCTGTGTGTGTGTGTGTTGATGGAGTTAGACTACAGATTTCTAAATAGTTCACGTTTCTTGTTATTTTTGGAACTATTTACAAGGGGGGGGGGGAGGGAACGTCTTTATATTGATGCACATTTTTGACGTGTGAAAGTCAGTAGCTTAAAATGAAACATGGTTTTTCTATAAATACCGAGTGTAACAAATAACTAAAAAGTCGAGATGAATTTGGGTCTTGGCTACAATAAATCTAGAATTGTTTAAAACCCTTTTTTTTTGTATTCCAGCAGTGATCATGGAGATATAAAAAAGGTATAAATACTCCCTCATTCTTTTTCTTTTCCTTTTTCTCTCTCTTTTTCTTTACTCTTTAAAATGTTTCAATTTTGGAGTGAATGGCGAAGAAAAGGAAGTAGTTCTATAAAGAACAACAATGGACATAATCATCAAATGGTCAGAACTTGCTCAGTGGCATCTAATCATTCAACACCATCGAATTGGAGCATAGATTGGACTGAATCAAAAAAGACTCTATCATTTAAAGATGACTATGTATCCTTTCCAAGCCTCGAACCAACAGAAGTCTCATACAATTAACCATACCCATCTGTAAATATCAACCAGCCTTTTTTTACCCTATTGTGTTTCTATGATCTATGTATAATTCCCTTATGAAACCTTTCTTGTATATGTACTTGTCATCATCTTAAATATATTCATAAAGTAATAATAACATTTTTCTTCGCTTTACATGGACAATGCTTAATCAAATGTATTAACTTTCTGTGCAACTTGGGGATTATATGACATCTTTTTTATGCAATAACCTTATGTCTTTACTTCTTTATTTCTTCTTTATGTCATGATATCAAAGAAAGAATGGAGCATTGATGCTAAAACTCATTATTATGTAATCATAGTCTCTTCATTGTATTCAATTTTAGATTAGTGGCTATAATAAGCATGATTTCATTGGGTTTAAAATAGTTTTTTTCTTTAATATTTTAAAAATGTCAGATAATTCAGAAAAGTACAATCTGGAAGAAGAACAAGATGAGCAAATTAACTTTAATGAGAATCCATATGCTTTCGACATGACATTAGAAAATTCAAGCTTAGAACAAGACTTGAACGAAAAGATGAAAGACTTGGCTATTTCAACCCATCGTCAATCCTCTCCAAAGTTTATGCCATATTGCACTTGATTATGAATAAAATTGCACTACAGGCATTTTCCACGCTACATACATCATCGCTATCATCTGATATGGGAACTTGATTCAGACTCTGGGGCCATGTTCACGAGTGTTACTATGAAAGAAAGCATCAGGACATGTTAGCAGTGAAGCACGTTTTTTAACTTACTCTTTTTTTTTTTTTTCCCTTCCGCAGTGAACAATTAAACAATTGAATAAGCCCCATAATAACGGGTATATGCAAGCACATATATAATTGTGTATGTGTGTATATGTGTGACAGGAAGAAAGGTGTTATGGTAACGGTGATCTCTGTCATGACAACATCATAAGTGTTTTCTCACAGCATCAAAGCGAGGGATCGCCCAGGTTACAGAACATGGCCCGAACTTCTCTACACACACATATATACACACATACACAAACACACAATTACTAAAGTATCCAATTGGGCGTTGATACTCATTGACTTGAACCGAGTTTATATTCCTTTTATTTATCAATTCAATCCCTTTCTTGCAATGAATGAAGATGCTAAAATAGATAGTTTATTATAGAATGCTATCAGTGCGCTTGAGGTAACACTACTTAAGCGTACTCTGTTCACGCGACATCATTTTAGCTGGAATGACTTGATTGGATAACACTTTGTCTGTCAATAAATCCGCGTGTGGAGTAAGTTTATTATTAGTTTTTGAAGTAAGCAAAAAGAAGTACACCGATAAGGCCAATAAGAATAGGAGTAAATAAATTAAATTGTTTCTTTTGAATTGCGCTTGATGGCTTATAATTAGTATGAATCCATTGCTCAATCTGCTAAAATTAGTATCCATATTCCGATCGGCACATTCCCTTACCTTTCCAACAGCCATCGAGATTTCCATAAAGTTAGGATCACAGGCATCATTCTTTCTTGCAATTTCAAATACATACTTTCTAAAGATAGCAACGACACTATCCATACTTGAACTGTCTAAAATTAATCGAACAGCCTCGCCTTTACGAATCTTTATATTGCGTTCATAGATTTGTAAATTATTAAAGACGAGTGCAAGTGTAGCAATAGCCATGACTTGAGGAATAGCACAAAACATAAAGATAGGTTGTGTTTTGAGTTTTGATAGATATGTCAATACATCTGGTATGTGGTTCAAGACATTCAATACCATATCGTTCAAACAGTATTTGGCCTACAATCGTTAAACAATGGTCTACGCTAATTTCTATTGTGTTACCTCTTTTTTGAACTCTGGCTTTGTAAAATCACTAAAATCCTTTACATATTTACTCCAGATCTCTCTTGGCCAGAACTGACGTCCATCATCCAAGTCTTCTCTATAGTCACGAATAATGTTTGTTTTCTGTAAGAATAATCCCATCGAATTGGACAGTTTCTTCTCTTTGGCAAGTTCTTCTGCTTCGTATCCAGAAGCGGCAAAGATGTCTGAAAGACCGTATCCGACCAGACCAGCCACATAATGACAATACAGATCGAAATCAGCAACAGTCGCTACAGACATATTTTCACGATGCTCTCCTGTTGCATAATCTGCCATACCATTACCCATCAAATTGGTAATATTCTCGATAACCTTTTGGTATTGAGGCTTCAGACGAAGAAATTCGTCAATCACAACATCAAACTGAACTAGTAACTCACGATCTTTTTCATTGGGACCATCTATAAAGAATGTTATTCTCTTTGCCTCTCTTTGTTTTTTACATGTATAAAAACTTACTTTCATTAAATGTCCATCCTTTCTGGTAAATAATTTTGTCAAAAGATCTCAACAGCTCTACCTTTCGATCCAAAGGCAACGTCATATCGTCCTCAATTGTATCCAGCCCACGCAGGACAAGATAAAACAAACAAATCTAAGGGGATGAGACATAGATCAGCAATAGTGTAAATAGGCATTCGTTTGCCCTTACAGCATCTCTAACTTCATCAGGCTCTAATTCTTGAATGACAGCTGCAAAACTTCGAGACGTCTACATTATATTATTATTATATTTCACAGCTCTTTTCTTCTTTCTCTACAAAGCGCATACCATGTTTAAGAAGTCATAGCAACGTTTCTTGGACGCGTCCTTGGCTAATGTCTGCTGAAGACGTCGATGAGCATCTGTCTTGGGTGCAAATTTGTACCGATATAAAGCAGCTAATTCATCTGGTCGAGTAATGGAATCTAAAAAAGCTGACAACATAATGAATCAACAAGATGATGTTCCAGGGGGAAAAAAGGAAAAGGGCAAAAAGAAAGAAAAAGGGTACAAAGTGGGTTACAATGTAACCTTGAAAAAAGAGAGGTCCTTTAATGTGACTACTGCAATCATTCGCTTTTAAATGCCTTTTTCTCTGGTCTTTACTCTCCCCTCCCCCTCTCTCTTCCCTTCTCTCAAAGTTTGGCTACAGGTATGTACAAGTGGTATTGATATGCTTTTTCGGTGGCATTTGCAGAACTTGGCCTTTTTTATTTGTATTGCATGTATCCAATTCGCTAGTCACACATTTGCTCTCTTCAAATAACCTTTTGTGTGGAACACTGCTTGACACACTCTATTGCCCTGCACTTTTTTTAATTGCTCTTAAATAGCGTTTACTACACGGCTGTCTTTTTATATGCAGGATTTTGAAGTATGCAAGTATATTTTCAGTAGAAAATACAAGATTATTTAAACAAAGTTAAGGTTATACACATTGCACCCCTTTCTTTTCAGAATCTACAAAATGGGCAAAGGCAAAAGAATAACTATCCTGAAATAGTTACTATGACAATATATTTATGAAAAAAAAAAAGCATACGATTTCTTATTTACGGGATGCTAAAGACGAACCAAACCTTATCCGTCCATTGTAAAACTCTTGTATGACTATGTTCTTCCGAGTAATGGCCAAAGCTAGACCATTATTTGTCTACATCTAAATAAAACCGGGTGTTTATTCACATAATAGCAATGGTGGTATAAAGCAACATTACATTAAAAGGGAATTATAAAGGTACAACTTTATTCATCATCTTCAACATCACTATCTGGACCTGCCATATCAATATCTGGAATATCAAAAGCTGGCATCTCCTCTTCTATATCTATTGCCTCGCTGTCTTTTGATTGTGGCTCTTCGTTCTGTGCATCCATCTCTTCAGCTGTCTTCATCTCCACCTCGATCGTCGTCTGCTCCGCTTCTTCTTCCATAACAACTGTATTCAAATGGGCAATAGGCGATTCCTTGGGCAGAACTGGAACATTGAAAACTGGCACCTCTTCTTTCAAATCCATTGACTCGTCGCTTTTTGACTGAGATTCTTCTTTTACCTCTTCAGCCACTATCTTTTCTACTTTCTTTTCCACAGCAGGCGTATTCCAATGAACAACAGGTGGTTCCTTGGGCGAAGTACGCTGAACTTGTATATCTGTTGCCTCTCTGTCTTTGGATTGAGGACCATTATCTACTTCTCTTACCATTTCAACCGCCTTCTTTTCTACTTTCTTTTCCACAACGGGTGCATCCAACTGAACAACAGGTGACTCTTTGGGTAGAGCACGCTGAATAGGAGGCAGTCGTGCATGCGTGATAAGGTCACAGATCGTCAGTCCTCTTTTACAGATCGTTTGCAACTCGTGAGTGGAGTCATTCATACCAGCAGTGAACAAGCGAACAGCATGAGGGAGGATACTAGCCTGTGCTTCCATAGGGCGTGTAACAGAGGCTAACAGACAGTTATATAATTCAACCTTGACAAGATTAACCTCTTCACTAGACATATTCGAAGGTTGCACTGTTTGTAAGAGTCTCATCAGAACAGTCGAGTCAATTGATGCGCGTTGCGCATTTTCAAGGGCAAAGCCAAAGACATCTAAAAAGGTGGCCAAGGTTTGTAAAGCAGCTGCTTGAACATCTCCTGACGCTGACGAAACAAGTCTGGATGTTATAGAATCAGAATTCGTGACCTCTGTCTTTCGCTTTTTGTGTGATCCTTTTTGCTGGCTAGGCATCACCAGGCTGGTGGGCTTGTGTTTTACAGTCTGTAAGTCTTCTAATATGGCAGCGATCAAGGGTTTAGTGAAGTTTTCAGCAAAAGTGTAACCACATTTTTCAAGGCATAGTCTTATCAGCTTGTACACTGACAGTCTTAATGTTCTCTTGTGCTTATATTCAGTCAGCAGACGGTGAAGTATTTTTGAAAAAAGCTTACTGTATCGAAACATCTCTTGTCCAGTACTGCCAACTACAGTTAGCAAGTGTAGCAGTTGTTATGATAGACACTTACCAGTAAAGCAAGCTGCTGAATACCTTGGTTGTATTGAAGTGTAGTGTAGGCAAGCACATCATTACACTAAAAAACTCACTTCTATCTTTATAATCACGCATCTATAACCAAATGATGTTAGAAGGAGTAGTATGAGCATATAGTCTAAAGTGTTACCAGAGAGCCATCAAAGACATTGTAAATACGACATAAAAGATCAACCAATTGCACTACAGGAACACGAACAGGCACATGGGTAGCAGTTCTATACAATGTGTTAGACATCATCTTGACTTGATTTCTAATGTTCTTACGTCAAAAATGTAGAAATAGAGTCCTGAAGCAACTGAACTCGTTTCAAAAGAAGAGGGAAGGCTTCAACATAGTCTCTCTCCACAGAACGGAAAGGATAGCTAGAGGATGCGTCGAATTCAAAAGATTCTAACCGGATCATTAGTATGTTTTATGTGTCGGTCCGATATTTACCTTCATCAACTGTATCAAAGAGTCGGTTTAGGCACTGGTGCACAGATCCAATAAGTCGCAATAGCATATCTCTCCATTGATCGGCCATGGTAGCTTTATTTCCTGTTCTGTACAGCGATGCTAAACACTTGCTGGCCCTTTGAGCTATGACCTGGTCCAGATCTCTTGATCCATCCAAACATGACAGACAAAGCTGAAGTGTTTGCTCAGCAATATGTTTACTGTTGGAAGGAAACTGAGCATTATTGGCTGTTAATGCAGAAAGTACAGTCGGCTGTGTTTTTTTTTTTTTTTTTTAATAACAAAGGTCTCTTTACGAAGTGTATCTATTTACCAATAATGCTTCTTTCTGAGCTAGTTGTAACAAAAGTTGATTATATCGCGGCATATTAGGCGTGGCTACTTCTCTATGCAGTTCAGGTTTGTCGTGTGTATAGCCAAATATGTAATTAAGTGCCTCAATAGATTCTTTATGGATAGCATCAGCTTCTGTTTTCTATTTACAAATGTATGAATAGAAGCTTACAGAAAAAGATTAGAGGGAACTTACACCGATAAAACCTAAAAGTTGGGCAGACCAGCTTTTGGCATTGGCAACCAGTAATGTATGCGATCTTTCACATGTTGTTCGTATAAGTGTAATGGCACACAGACGCACTGCTGCGTTTTTCGATTGTAGTAGTGAATTGAGACGAGTGACCCACTTTTTGTATAGGCTGGCCATCTCTTCATTAGAAGCTGAGACTTCATTAAGTAGATCATGATTGACAACACTTTCCAAGATAAAAGATAAATTCTTTACTAGCGCATTTTCTTTAGTTAAGTATAGGTTGATTATATTTTCAAGTAACTGAGCGGTATATGCTGAATTTGTCATTTCGAACCAGCTAATTAAAGTCATTCTTCAACATCTCATAATAAAAACTATGAATAAGCCTCTTTAAGGCAAAATAGTCACATATTATTTATGCAGCCTGACAGTAATTAAGGTGGGTTTTTTGGAGTGTAAAATATAAACATATATAAATCTTCCTATGTTAAGCATTCACGCTTCGAGACTATGACCGAGAATTATTATTTTTTTCCTTGAACTGTATTGTAACGACAGGACATTTTAGAATAATTATTTTATCTTGTAGCGCCTTATTAAAATCACGAGTTGGTGAGGCCTGTGGTAATTTATATTTAAGTGACTCCAGAGGCTTCGTTACTCATTCTGCTAAATGTTTTGATAAGTGCCTCAATAAAGGAAGATTATAAACACCAATCTCCATCTGAAAAAAAAAAAAGAATCCGATGAAATGTTCAAGCAGGATAACCAATTTGTGTTAACGTCTCGTTCAGCGTTTCCCAAACTTTAGAAAAGAGATGATATTGGTTTATTCAAGAGTTATGGAAGAATCTATAGATATACGGAGGAACCAATCTACACAATTAACAATAGCAAAAGGCCAACTGAGTAGAATTGGAAAGGCAAAGGTATATGATAAGTCATAATATGTACACGTACGTACAGTACCTACATGGACAACGTAAGCGTATGGGACATGGATAGAAAGAGTATGAAGAAGTAGAGGAATAAGCTGAACACAAGAATATTAATTGGTAATCAAACTTCGGCTACGCTTCCGTTGACCAATGCGACAGTTGAACTTGTTGGATACGCCGTTGTCATTCAATATATCAGATCTTGAAGTCATATCAAACGAAAATTCTATATCCACCACAATCTCCACAGCTTGCTTGTACGCGTTGAACAAAAATTGTACATCACCAAAATCAGTTGAAAAGCCAGCATAGTCAATTACCACTAATCGGATGGATTTCATATTGGTACGCAGCCGATGTAATAGATCTTGCGTCGTCCTGGCGCAGTGGCTCCACATATCGGCCTTCAACTGGCTATCAGCTTTCTCATCACGTTTGTTTAAAGGCATAGATGCGCTATGCCGCGGTGAGACATAAGCTTTTCTTGCCAGACATCGATCACGTAGTTTGTTAATCATAGATTGCAGCAGTTGCACGCGCATGCTGTATAAACGCTGCATGATGTTGTATTTAGCTTGTTATTATTTGAAATTATCAGCTAAGTCGATGATTTGCGAATTAGATTCTTTATTAAGAGCTAAGTATTATTAAATTAGGTTTAAGAGCTTTATAGGGGAGATTGAATATTATCAGTATAATTTAGTGTAGCCAATGTGATTATATATCATTGTTGTCAGTACGTTTATTCTTTTCTTTTCAGATGCAATATATGAAGTAGAATGTATGCTCTACTGTAAGATTATACTCGAGTTATTATAATGATTTATATCAAACACGTCAAATCCCAAAAGACCGCTGCAAATAGCATGCTCTTGAGGGTTTTAGTGCCGCTTCCTATGGTTCTCGATTGTTGGTCGTTGGTAATAAACAGATTGTGAATAACTGCGGTACCCACCCAGATTGAAACAAGTATGAACCCTGACACCACCAAGTCTTAGCCTACCAATTATAATGATTAGTTTATCTTACTCCACTCACTCCCATCAGATTTTATGCTTTCCTCTTCCACCCCCACTTTGTTGAACTTGCCCGGGCAAAAATTAATATAAAAAATAAGAAAAGAGTTTGTATATATTTTATACAACCCTGTAATGTAAAAATAAAAGCAACCAAGACTTATACGTATCTCCTGTTTATAAATAAAGACTTTTAGTAATCTCTTTAATTTAATGACCCAATTGTAGGCAGAAAACGGAACATTATATCGATGTCGTTCCCAAAACCAGTTCAACTCGTTTGAGTGACATTTGATAAAATCATAAAGACGGAAAAGACCCCATAAGAAACTACGGAAAGGCTGTACTAATTTCATTTGTGCTACACTAATTCTGCAAGGGCCCTTCCTTGAGAAACACAGCTTGACAATAATAACAATTCTATTTTCTGTCATTACTCCAAGACAGTAGCTTAAAATAAAACTGGCTCTCGTTTATAATATCACCAAGACATACCAAAACGCTTATCTACCTTCAAATTGAATCTACTCTAGCTATGGCATGCGCAATGGCATTTTTTCTTATTTTTTGTGTAAAGCTTCATCGCTGTGTGCAACCCATAATGGACGGGTTCCCTCTCGTTTATGGAATGATTGTAAATTAAAAATTGCTCTATGGTGCAACCTAGTATATCAGACTAGAATATATAAAGCAAGTGTCTCGCTTTATCCTTCTTTCCAACTTGTAAAAATGAAGGCCATTCAGTTTTACGTCTTAGCAGCACTCATTTGCATCGTTCACGTTGCTTTTGCAAAGACCAGATGCGAGCTCTCTGTTGACAAGGCTCAATTGAAAGCATCGGGCTCTCACCTTAGAATTCGTGGTCATGTCTCAGTTGGAAACAGCCATTGCAAGCCTACAAAGGATGATGATAATGATGTTAGCACAACAATAACCCTTACATCAAAAAAGAGGTTTTCTTTTAGAGACGCCAAAGGAAAAACTCACTCTGGAGAAAAATGTACAATCACTGCAAACTGGTATAATACACCCGACAAATATCATCATTCAGGAAAGAACAAGGAAGTCTATGTACCATTTAGGCTAGCTCACTCTATCGACTGTGACAAGGATGCAAAGACAAGAACAAAAAAGAGCAAAGCGGCCACTAAAAAGAAGAAGACAACCACTAAAAAAAGAAAGACGACCACAAAGAAAAAGACAACAACTAAAAAGAGAAAGACAACCACAAAGAAAAAGTCTCACAAAACGTCAAGTCCTTCCTCTCAGTCCCATGGATTTGATGGCAAGGCAACCTTTTTCACTCCTAACCAAGGCGCCTGTGGTGAATGGAATGATAATAACGATATGATTGCTGCTGTAGGTGGCGAGCTCTATGGAAGTTACAGTAAGAAAAGCAGCGTTTGTGGTAAGAAGGTGCTGGTAACCAACAAGGCAAATGGTAAAAGCGTCAAAGTCACTATTACTGATGCCTGTGAGAGCTGTGACAAGACTCATATAGATCTTTCACCCGCGTAAGTTTGTCTTTTTATATATTTTTCATTCTTATTCACTTTTATTCACTTTAGAGCTTTTGCAAAAATTGGCAAATTTGATACGGGTGTCCTTAAGGTTGAATGGCATTATATCTAAAAGCACCACTTGTATCGATTTTATTTTAAATAAAATACTACTTTGTCTGTAACTTAAATGTGGTTATAACATCTTGTAAAAGGCTTGCTTCGGCAATATATAAAAAAAGGAAAAGGGCAAAATGAGTAGCCAATGGCCAAAAGAACTGTTTTGCTTTTTCAATACGATGTGTACAATGTTGTAGTAGCATATGTCTTGTCCATTAAAAATAAAAGGAGCAATGTAGTCTATAATATAAAGTATTGACGGCATAACTTTTCAGCAATTAAAGCTATTCTGAATGATTTAAATGTTTAAACGTATCATGACTCAGTATTTGTTTTAAAGAGCTTTATTGATTTTTATAAACATTTACAAAAAGAAACAAAAAGTAAAATACAAGTATTCCTAACAAAGGTTGCTTTTCATAGGAAATTCATTTATTTATTTTAAACATTTACTGCTGATATTTCTTTGGAAAAAGAGTTACTCTATAGTCATTTATGGCTAGACTGAGCACAATAGCATCCTTTTCCACGTTTCTCAAAAATATGATAGATGATCTGTGCGTAAAAAGGGGTTGTTTGTTATTACATGGCGCATACTATCACGTTATATATCGAAAAAGTTGCACAAATAGTAAGATGAGCTACAATATGAACTTGTAATCCCAGTAATAAACAGCAGTAAGGTAATACTCTTTGGCGATGGGGAATATGTCACTTAATAGCTACGAATTGAGTCATAAAAATGCTCTAATTGATTTGATATGTTTAAATCAGTTTTTTATGTTTGTCGCATATGATTGGCATCTTGTATTCAGGCACTAAATATACAACGTTTTGCAGTTGATCAAAATAACATTTTGTGTAATTATAAGAAATATAAAATATCTTTTTTCCAAAGACTCGATTTATATCCCCCGCTTATGTCCTGTAGAGCTTTCTTTTCAAAAGTAAGACTAAATGCACTATTTTACTCTATGAACTATGGTCAGCGTTCTTGTTTTGCTACATAATATGTGCTCTCACTGTACGTTTGGCCTTAATTCGATCCAAGGCATGGACGGTGTAACACAATGTTCTTTTCCTTTTAGTCTTCAAAAGCTATCTTATACCTTGTTGAAAAGGTGATGACTGCAATCATCCTTATTCTCTTTAGAGGCTCCCTTGACCATTTACTAAGCATCTGTAGATACACATATACACACGCACTCTTCCGCAGCTCACTTGTGACCATGTGATATGTCTGTACGTCCTATCGTCGTCCACAGGGCACAATGTTGAGCCTAAAAAGGCAAAAAGGTCTATCGATGGTAACTGAATATACAAATGGACTGAAATGATACATAGCTTAGACATGGACATACGATGATTGAAACTTGGTGATCATTCATAAAAGAAATTTTTTGTATGTTTGTGTCTATTTGTCTCTTGTGTAATGTTATCTATTTCAACCACGCGACATCATGTAACAGGTGTCTCAAGTATTTGATTCTAGGTCTCCAGGTGAAAAGGTCTAGGACTTATAAAAACTTTCCATGAAAATGATCAAATGAACTTGAAGAGATTGCTGATTATCAAAGTGTTTGCTTATCTTGTCTCTTTTCAGGGTTTGTTGGGCTTGTAAGAAAATTTTTTTTACAAACTCAATACAACACCAATAAAACTAAATGAATTAAACTTCCAAATAAACCAGCCGTGAGACGCTCCACCGAGTCAACATTTAAAAAAACTTTTTGCAAGGTCTCTCTCTTTTGAAAGATTTTACCCGAGGAAAAGGAGATTCGGATCGATGGGGTAAAAATAAAAATAAAAAACCTATTAGTGCAAAAAAAAAAGTTAGAAAACATATTGTATAATAAACATGACATTAGCTGTATTTCATAACGATGTTCTTATAAACCAGATGGACCTATGCGAGAAACGAACAGACCTATTTCGAAAAAGCAAAAAAAGTTAGTAAAGGGTTCATACAAAAAGAGGTTAGCGAGAAGACCAATCTATAAAAAGAGCCATGAAAAAAAAACCCAAAAGCATTTTTTTCGACACTATTAAGACATGGACACGCTTTGAAGTGAAAGAAAAGGACAAATACATCATCCTTTCCCCCTTTGGTTGGTAGAAGAATCATTTTATCGCTTTAAAGTATTGTTATTTTGTAAAAAATATCAATACCAAAAAATTGAAAAAATAAAAAGGAATAAAGGGTCTAGAGGTAATAATAAATAAAAGGGGGGAAGACTATGCTGCGATTTCTCTGTAGCTGGTCTGTAATAAAGCTCTGTGTGCATCGGCAAGTTGTCGTTCTAATTCCAGAATTCGAACTTTACTTCTCTTTTCCTTTGCTTCAATGTTGGCTTTTTCGCTCTCTGCAATGGCTGCGCGTAGTCTCAATCGTTCATTCTCAGTTTCTAATTCTAGTACTCGCTTTTCCAGTGCTTCCATCTTCATTGCTTTACGTTGGCGAGATCTTCTGGCTGCGTCTGTATTTCGTTGGCGTTTTAAGGCGATCAAATCCTCTTGACTAAGATTTCTATTGTTTATGTCGGGTCGTTCTCGTTTATTATTGCTGTTGATCGTTTCATCCATTGTTGATTTTGTGTTGTTTTGTTGAATGGAGCCCAAGAGAGCCAGTGCTTTAATGAAGGGTTGGAGATCAATAGAACCACAGGGTGGCGACATATCATCCTTTGGTTCAACTTTGGGTGTTTCAGCAGGGGACAATGGCTCATATTTAATCATGGGAGTAGGAACAGTATCCATACGAGGTGTACATTCAGATATAGGAGGTGAGGCCAGCAGTAGTTCCCTTGGTGTTGTGGGCTTGTTTTCAATCGTATGAGTAGCATCAGTAGACAATAGGCCAGATTCACGCAAGTCATTTTCTAACCAGTCATCCAAGGTATCGAGATTTATAGCATCATTAGATTGAAAGGAGTCCATTATGAATGGTTTGTATATACAAGAGATATAATAGAATAAATAAAACTATTTACAAAAAGAAGGAGTAAGAAAAAAAGAAAAGAACCTAGAGTTCAACGCGCTGCTATTTAAAGGGAAATTTTTTTGGTGTAAAGCCAAGAATAGAGAAGGGACTGCTTTCATGTCAGACTTTGTCAATTTGAAAGATCATCTTTTAATTTTATTGGTACTTTTTGATAGAGAATTTTTTTTCTTTTTCAACGACCGTTCCGATGCTATCCTCCCCCAGGTTGATTTTTTAGATGATGTTCTCGATAAAATAGGTCAAAATATGGTATAACTTCTTTATAAAGTTGACTTGGTTTGTTTCTTCAACATTTTCTTCATGAGGAATTCTTCCGCGGTCTGTAATAATTAATTGAGTCTCCATGACGACAGGTTCCATGGTAGCGTTTTGCCAAATTTTGTGTCCTCTTTTACTTAAAAAGGTACTTGTTTCAACTAAATTCAGTAATATGTGACTTAGTTCATTGAAACTAAATATTAAGTTAGAGTCGTACACCCACATCCACGCACATAGTCCCCCCTCTCTCTCATACTCTATAGTCAAATAGCGTAGAGTTTCGCTATGTTCATTGTTCGATTGATTACTCAACATGATACCAAATAGATCAATCACGATGACCATACTTGGCGGTTGTCCATCCTTGTGTTCATACATCCACCGCAAGATATCGATCGACTCTTCTTCCCTCGAAGGCTCTATATGGATTCCACAGAGTACAGCACGAAGCTGATGCGTTGTTTCAACTCGGCTAATATTTTAATACAGATTTAAAGGCGAATGGTGTATTCATAAAAATATAATTACCAAATGCGTATCAAGTCCAGCCATCTTCTTTGCTCCGCCTGACTTTCAGCATTCTCTTCATCTAGTTTCTGTTTGAACATTCTCTCGATAGATTCTATATCCTTGCAAAATACGAGTGCCCAAGGCTGAACTGTATCTTGAAATCCTTTTCCAAGCAAAGAATACTCATCAGCTAATGTCTTTGATTTGTCTTGTAGTTGATTGATTATGAGATCTAGTAATTCACTGTCCTCTCGACATTAGGCAAAGAGTCCAACAGATAGGAATAACTTACCTCGCATTTTCTACAGCATCAGTTCCCTGTCGTATAAAAAAAGTAGACATGAATGTAAATAGGTTAAACTAGTACTCTTTCCTCTTTTCTTCCCTTTCATTTTGACTGATTGCACAGTCACGACCATACAACAAAAGACGCGTGTATTTGTCTTTAACTTGCAAGTTTTGACCATATTTTTAGATCAAACTCCGTAGTAAACCACTCTATGGCCTTTTTTCAGTAGAATCCAGTACACATAATAGACAGAATCAAAACATGAAAATCCCATTCATTATAATCAATGATAGCAGCACATTAATCATCTTTATTTCTTATCAAAATCGTTATTTTTGACACTATGACGTTCCAAGGAATGGATCTGTTCTGGGGCCCAAAAGGAATCCCGAGAAAAATGATCGCCAACGAACGACTCATTGTTTGACAAGGAATACAACTACCAATGATTCCGAGGAACAGGGAAACCAAAGTTGACGCACAATGTGGAACCATAAATTAGAAATCATCAGCAAACACTTTTTCGTGTGAGAGATAGAAGCAAGGAAGCGAGATAGATCGAGTGAATAACTTGAAAAAACAATAGGTTCATTATTTACTTCCATACTCTAACTGGCTCATCATTATTTTTAGCTTCTTTTGGGAATAAGCTGCCAAACTTATCGCAAAGCAGGCCAAGAAAAGCTTTGTTATTAACACTGCTTCTTAATTGGTTTAGTAAATCTATGCTTTAGATGTTCATTTCAATTAAGCTTATATAATACAACGCATTTAACAGGAACGTTGTTGGCATGATCTTGTTCATCCTTGGCAAAGAAGGTGTCCTGTTGTGAAAGAAAGGATGATAATCATGCTTCATATCCTATAATGATGAGTGATGTGATACCTTTGACTTTTATTTGCTACAATATATTTAGCATATAGACCAAGACATTGTGCTATCCATAACCTGGCTGATTTAAAAGAAAAAAAAAAGACTGCAAGTAAGCCTGTGAAAGGTTGACGCTGCCTAATCTGAGCTTGATGCATGTATCACTTTCTTTAGAGCATGTTTAACTGTTGTTGTCTTGTCTTTGACTAAATCACTGCTTGGCTCTTGTGAGGCTAAGCTTGTATGAACTTTTTTTTACAACAGCCAAACCATGTAGCGATTTATGATTTGCCAAAGAAACAGCCCCGCTACATTTCATACTCCGTTTCATTTAGCTAAACACGTATCATCTGTAGACAGGCTATTTCTTTTTATCGTCATTACTTCATCTGGTAACTATCCATCACTCCTAATCTTGCTTGACAACTCAAAAAGGATTTTAGACAACAATGGCGAAAAGATTAAGCGAGATAAATAGCACTGCTACTTTTGCCTGGAGTCCGGGGCAACAGACTCCTCTGATTGCTGCAGGTACTGCTGCTGGTGCCTTGGATGACTCATTCTCAAACACGTCTGAATTGGAGTTATTTAAGCTTGACTTTAAGAATACATCTCATGGAGCCGTTTCTGTCGCCAAAGTCGCAAGTTCTGCGAGGTAATTTCACTTTTTGCTTAGTAAATAATCTTACTAACCCTTTCGAAAAGATTCAACAAATTAGCATGGGGAAACGCATCCAGTAGCCATCCTTATGGTGTTATCGTTGGAGGTTTAGAAAATGGCCATTTGGCGCTTTGGGATCCTAGTAAAATATTGGACGGAAAGAGGTAACAGTTGTGGGGTTTATGTAAAATAATCTTAACTTGGAGTTTATAGTGAAGAAGAAGCTAAAACTTGGGATAATTCAACACACTCTGGCCAAATACGTGGCCTTGACTTCAACAAATTCCAAACTAACTTACTAGCATCGGCTGGAACTAATAATGAAGTATATATTTGGGATCTTACCAAGCCTGACACACCTTACAATCCTGGTCCAAAATCTTCCAAGTTGGATGATATTACAAGTGTTGGCTGGAATGGCCAAGTGCAGCATATTCTAGCAACCTCTTCTTCAAACGGACATACAGTTGTTTGGGATCTCCGTAACCGTAAAGAGGTCATGACTCTTTCTGCACCTAACAGCGGTGTTATTTCTGGTCGTAAGAATATTTCATCGGTTGTCTGGCATCCCGATGTGGTAAGAACACCAAAAAGAAAAAGAAGAGCGAGTACTTATTGCGCACACTATAGGCCACTCAATTGGTTACAGCCTCAGAGGATGATTCGAATCCAGTAGTCACTCTCTGGGATCTTCGACACGCTCATTCACCCGAGAAGATCCTTGCTGGTCATACCAAGGGCGTCTTGGGCGTCTCTTGGTGCAGGCAAGATTCAGACTTGTTGCTTTCTTGTGGTAAAGACTGCAAGACTCTCGTTTGGAATCCTAATTCAGGTGAGTTGCTTGGTGAATTGGCTCAAGACAACAATTGGACTTTCCAAACTGAATGGTGTCCTCGCAATCCTGATCTCTTGGCCTCCGCTTCTTTTGACGGAAAGGTAAAATACACTAAATGCACAGATTCCACATGCTCAAATGTTTTAACTTAGATTAGCGTCTATTCTTTGCAAAATTCCGGATCTCAAGACGACGTGTCTGCTGTAGATACCACCAATGATGACCCTTTCACAGCCGCTTTGAAAGCATCCGCACCAGCTGCCAGCGCTGGCTTTTCTTTAAAGCACCCTCCCAAGTGGCTTCGACGCCCTGTTGGCGCTACATTTAGCTTTGGTGGAAAACTTGTATCATTCAATAACAAAGCTGGTCAAGCTGCTGCTCAAGTGGCTGCTAACTTACGTCCTGATCAAGTACCTGCTCCTCAAGTTATTCCTCGCGCTGTCAAGATTACGTCTATTGTCACCGACAAGGAAATCGTCAATCGATCCGAAGAGCTTGAAATTGCTTTGCAACAACAAGATGTAGAGCAATTAGTTGAATCTCGTCGACAACTTGCAGACCAGGATAAAGAAAGTTGGGAAGTGATCAAATCCTTGTTAGCTCCCGATGCAAGAGAACAGCTTATGAACTATCTTGGTTTCCAGAAATCAGAAATTGCCGCAGCCGTCGCCAAGATTACCGCCGAAAAGAAGGGAACCGAAATCACTACAAAGGAAGAGTTCACCGAAGAGACAGTTGTCGAGCAAGCTGAGCCAGCACCTGAAGTAGCTGAGAAGACTGATGATGCCAAAGCTGAGGAACCAAAGACTGATTCTGTTTCCGGATTGTTCCAATCTGACAATGCTGCTGAAGACTTCTTTGCCACACAGACAGAAAAGACAGACCATGCCGCTCCAGAAGTAGACATTGCTCAGGCCATTGGTTCGGCCATTCAACGTGAGCCTCTTCAGCTCTACTCTGATGAAAATTCAGATGTTGATCATTTGATCACTCGTGCTGTCGTCTTGGGTGATTTTGAATCTGCTGTCAATCTCTGTTTGTCCGTTGAAAAGTTTTCTGATGCCTTGATGTTTGCTATCTGTGGAGGCGGTGACCTTTTGCAGCGAACTCAACAAGCTTACTTTAAGCATCAATCAAAGACAAGTTCATACCTTCGCTTATTAGAAAGTATCATTGAAGAAGACTTGAGCTCTATTGTCGCCACTGTATCTTTAGAAGAATGGACTTCTATCATTGCTGTGCTTTGCACATTTGCAAAGGCAGAGGACTTCAAACAGCACTGTGAAGCATTGGGCGCTCGTTTAGAAGATGCATTAGCTGACGATAATCCTGAAAGTACCAAAGAGCTTCGACGTCGCGCAACTCTCTGTTACCTTGCTGCTGGTAACCTGGAGAAAGTGTCACGTATTTGGATTGCTGAGCAAGAAGAGCTGGCTGAAAAGAACAAGAATGAGGGCGTTTATGCCTTTAGCCTTCAGCAACTGATTGAAAAGGTAACGATATTCCGTAAGGTTATTTCGTTTGAGGATCCTGCTCTCTTGGAAGTCTCCGAATCCAAATTGCCTTATGAATATCCTCTTGCCCCTCTTTATGACAAGTACTGTGAATATGCAGACCTTTTGGCTAGCCAGGGCAAGTTAACTACCGCTTTAAGCTATTTGAGCTTAACACCTGTCGTATACCGTAAGGCCACGTTTGATAAACTCAGCATCATTCGTGATCGCGTCTATCACGCATGTCCTAGCTCTGTTACTAGCTTATATTCTCAGCCTACGGCACCATTTGAAAGCAAGCCTATTGTGACAGAATCTGCCATGGCCGAGCCTCAAGCAGCACAACCCGTTGCAAGTGCGTTCCCTCAGACTACAAGTGCTCAAGCTCAGCAACATCCTTCTTATCAACCCTACCAGCCTGCTACATTTACACCTCAAACCCAGGCGACAGCAACGACACATGTTACCAGTACGTTTACTCAACAAGCACAATACACTCCTCAGTATCAACCTGCGGCTGCTTCCTATACTCAGCCCCAACCTACGGTTAGTCAGCCATATCAACCAACAAGCAGCGTCTATGCTCCTCAAGCTCAAGCCCAGGCTCAAGGTTCCCAATACCAGCCTTACCAGCCTTATCAGTCTACTGGCTACAATAACTATCCTGCAGCAACTGCACCCTACAGCCCTCAGTACAGTAATGCTGCCAGCACGACGTACAGCGCGCCTCGCCCCTCTATTCCTGCTCCTCCCCCTATCACTGGTGTTGCACCCTCTCCTCGCTCTCAGCCTCAACAAATCCCTCCTCCACCAAAGAAGCCTCAGGGTGCTTGGAATGACCCTCCCATGGCTTTAGCTGCTAATAAAAAGTCAGTGAAAAGCCCCAAGGTGGCTACCGCACCTGCCAAGAGAGTAACTTCACCATTCCCTACTCAACCAGCTGCTACTGCTTTTGCTCCACCTCCTCAGCAGCATCATCAACCACAACCACATTTGCCCCCACCACCTCAGCAACACTTACCTCCACCACCTCAAAAGAATCCACTTCCTCCTCCTCCACAACAGGCTCGTCCTCCTCTCGGACCCCCACCAAGAGGACCTCCTCAATACACGGGACCAAGATATACTTAAATAATAAAAAACCGTCGCATATATTGCTATCGAAATAAGATATAATGTTTATGTAATCAAACTATTTTATATGCTCTTTTTATCTCTTGTACAAATCACAGTCGATAAAAACATGAATAAACAATGACAAATACTAGAAGAAACTAAGCCGAGAGGCGGACTAACTGCTGTCACACTTGACGAATACCTAACCTCGCAAGTGTGCAGCAGAACTTTGGAAGATGTTGGTAACAGAGGTAAAAGTTCCCTAGTATGCAGAGCATGTGGAACAATCTGCGAACAGCATTATGACAATAACAAGTCCTATATAGGAAACAAAAGAAGCCCCAGCCGCGTTCAAAAGAGTTTCTCGTGTATCAACATCAATAGCTAGAACAAGCTCTTAGTTAAATGCCAAATCACCATAACAGACACGGTTTGCCTACCCAGGCTTTAGCTTTAGTAATTCTAAGTTACAAGTAAGGTATCCAAGACCTATTACAGGAATGTGTATAGAAGCTGCATTAAGAGACATCTTTCGTTGTTCTTTTTTGATTAGTGCTTGTCGCAACTGTTCACCTTAAGTTATTCATCCTTGAATTTGAGATTTTATAATAAACTTCTCTTTGCATAATACATCTATTACTTTACACTGCTATGTTGTTTTGGATCTACTCTCTAGAATTCAACAAACGTTCTCGATGGAAGGACTCAATAACTCTCATTCGACCACACTGTTGCTTTAGGGTCATTCGCTGGCAGGGAATGGTTTAATTTATGGGCTTTTTTTGTATATGAAAAAAAGGGGGATAACTTATTTGCTACGGGGCAACCAATTGACGATATATACATACATTGTTTTTATTTAATAATAATCACCACCACCGTCATCATCGTCATCGATATCATCTCCTTCGCCATTATCAAAGTAATTTTGTGCATAATCATTATCATCGACCAATTCTTCCTCATCTTCATATTCTTCTTCCAATTCCTCTTCTTCCTCTTCTTTCTTTTCTTCACCTTCTTCATCATCACCCTCCTTATTTTCATCTACTTCTGTACTAAGTAATGCTTCTAATTGTGCATATTCATCTTGAAGCGATACTGTTTTTTGTTCTATAGACACACACAAGTTTAATATGTGGTGAATTGGTCATTATTGTTCTATACTTACTCTTCTTGGCTCTCTTTGGTTCTAAAACAGTTTGAAGTTCCTCAGGAAAGAAGTCGAGATCTTGTACGTTTTAGTTGTTGTTTTTATTCATTTAGTTTTTTTATATATACCTGTTTCTATCTCTCGTAGACTCCTTTTTGTTTCTTGTACTTTATATCTGTCAGAATATCGTTCTATGTCTGGTGGCGGCGGTGGCACTGTTAAATAAAATGGTGATGATTTGACCATTTCCAGGTATTCTTTTCTTAATTTCCACTGATGTGATTCAGTTGATGTAGGTTTACGAGGGATGGGTACATCCATTTGCTAATATGATTAATTTACTGTACATCTTTCTTTTTAACTATTTACTTTACTGGAAATAGATCTGTGTTTGTATTAAATAGAGTACCAGAATTTAAATCTTTAAGAAGATCAAAGGATACTAGAGACATGGCCCCACTTTGGTTTGCACCTCCACCGCCACGACCAAAACCACCTCCACGACCACCGCGAGACATTGGTAATAAACGATTAGAAGGATAATAAAAATAAAAAAAATGCAAACAGTAGGCTTGAAAAAGAAAACATAATAAAGTGACTGTCACAAGAGTGACTTGTATCTGTCATTCTATGCTGATCTGCCAAGTCGTATTTTTGCAATTTTATAATTTATACGAAAATGCGATAAGTTAACGCGACATCTCTTTCTGGAAATGGTGTACATCTATTTCAGAACTACCGACCATATTTCATGCAATATTTTTTATCTAATTACAATTTCAGAGAGAGAAAAAAAGTTCGGCAACGCAACAACCACAATTTTACCCTACGTCAAGACATCTACCGCGTATGATTCTATCAATGAACAGTTTGGTCGCCCTGCTTATCTCGAACATTATGCAATAGGAAACGAACTGAAAAATCAATACTGTTCAAGTCATCTAGAAACATTACCGGCAACACAGTGATAACTCCATGGTCCACAAGCAAGAGAAAGCCACCACTAGTGATGATTCGATGCTGAACAACAGCAAAACGTAACCAGTAACGATGGCACATCAACAACAGAGCAACTAGAACAAGGTGGAAAACAAAACAAGAGACCCACTAGTTCCAATGATTCCATCAAAAACGAGCTCCTGGTGAGCACTACATGCACGGAGAAATACACGAGAAGGATAATGCTACGGACGCTTCTTTTAGGCACAACATGTAAGGCCATTCAATTCACTCTCCTTGATGCAAAATAAGATGCACCAAAATTACACGAGATTGTTCTTGGTTCTTTGTTGATCAAACTGACAACATAAAATTAAAATAAAAAAAATCTCTTTTTATCTCTTTCTTCTTGAAAAGAACACAAACCAATTTGGTAACTTTATAAACTCATGTGTAGCTTGACACTACATAATGAAAAGTTTTACTGGTCAACATCACAAGTTATTCGCTCGTTCTCGTGCGCGTAGTGTTGGACTTTTTACTACCAGACCAGCATAATTATGATGATATATCGCCATTTTTTAATCAAACCACATATGCTGAAATTACCAAGACCTTGGAAATAACAAGCAAGCTTAGAAATATTGATAAAAAGGATATTGATGCTGTTCAAAGCTTTATCAAAACAGTACTAACAAGAATTCAAGACAAGACTCTCATACCTCTCAAATATACTGACCCTCGAGGATCAAGATACTTTTCTTTATTTCCCTTGTACATGATTGATTCCAAGAGTGTACATATTGACGCTAAATCTTTCTGGAAGCTTGCCAAGCAATGTGACAACAAAATCAAATCATGTCAAATGATAATGACTTAACTTTATGGTACTTTAATGTCTTTGATTCTTCAAAAATAGGCTACAAGACACTTGAAAGCTTGACTTCACGTTCAGAGAAGTTTGCGTGCGTATGCTTACATGACTTTTATTTTTGAACTAAACAAACATCGTCGTTGTAGAAATGTGATCACTACTGATGGTTATGCTGTATCCTTTATGTTTAAGAAAGCCGTCGCTATCCAAGATGAATCTAAAAGAGAACCAAACACACCCAGGTGTTTTGCTGACATCGTTGACGATGCACAAATTTGAGCTGTTGATCCTAGTATATCAACTATCTTTACTGCAGTAGTCTCTACAGAGCATGAACGTATCCGAACTACAAACTTGGAAGAATACTATCATTTATGTGGTTACAGTATTGCTACAAGAAGACGAAAAGAATACCAAGAGTGCCATTTAGACGAATTTAAGTATATTAGCGAATTACCTACTTTAAAAACTGCAAACTTGACCTCATTTTTATTAGCTGCCTCTATACGTCTACGAAGCTATCAAAGAATCCATAACAACTATTGCCAACATAAATGGTACGTCGCTCTCTTACATGGTGTGCATTTTAATAACGCTGCGTATAGCATAGGCCTTAAAAGCTACAGTTCAAGACTTATATCAACAAGCAAAAAGGAACTCAAGAAATTGTTAAAAGGCTCTTTGACAACAGTAAGAAATATAGCACATCAAGCACATTTGGCGCTAAAACCAAACCCCAAACAAAAGCAAACATGTACCTCTACCTCCTCTCCGCAGAAGCGGACCATTGCGTTTGGAAATGGTTCTTTTGGTTCAAGTATGAAAGGAAAACGAGCTGCACCTACTAGACGTATTACTGAGGAAATCGAACGAAAATGCAAACAATCTAATGGGGAACCACATTTGATTATGTTGACGAGCACTTCACAAGTGTAATATGAAAGAAATGAATAATCTCTCTGTTTCTGGATCAAAGTGAAGAGTACACTCTGTCCTCAAGTGTAAATCTTGTGATACACTTTGGAATCGCGATGTGGACAGTGCATTAAATATATATAATATCTTTGTTTACAAATCAAACCACGACAATGAAAGTCCTCCCCTCCCCTTCAAAAGACTAACGGTGCTCCTGGATTTAATACGCTGTCTATAACGGCAGTGCATTCCTTAACGCTTCGGTAAGTATAAAGCGAATAATGAATTGTTTTTTATTCATTAGTCTTCTAGCTATGAAGCTGCTATTTTTAGTTTACCATTAGTGATTATTCCCAGACTTTCATTCCCAAATAATAAAACAATTATAGCCCATTTCATTACGCCCACTTTTTTTTTACTCATTGGCTAGACATCAATCTATATTATCTTTTGCATTCTTTTTTGACTTGACACGGTCCACACATTGTTGTTACGGTTTCTGAGGCACCTTTGGGAGAAGCGTTGTTTCTGTATTTGTTCTTTTCTTTAGTGCTGCTGTTGCAAGCCCCTCCTAAACTATGAAATTTGATCAAGATTGTTATCATTAATTGAAAAATAAGTTGGCCAAGAATCTACCACATAACTCAGTACATAACCCAATTCATCCTTTGCTAAGAAACTGCGAGTGCTCTTTTGTAAGTTTTTATTGGACTTTCAAAGAATTATTGGTCGTACATTTTTTGCATTTTTGGCTCCCTAACACGAAACACTGCATCTGTCAATGTTCCATAAAATCATCTTATTCCCATCAAATTTGTGTACACATGATCTCTTTGCTGCTGTGTATCATGTAACAAGGAGTTACTGTATTTAGCTTGACCTTTTAGAGATATGATCACATGCACACAAATTGGGAAAAAGATGGTAGTACTTTGGCTTTATCAAAATCAAAAAAAAAGAAAAAAAAAACCAAAGGTAAGAGGAGGGAGACCAAGTCTCTCTATATGAATGAATCTGCATATTTTTTATTTAAAAAAGAAAGAGTCTATCACAATTACATTTTAAACTCGTTGACAATGACAATTTGAAAAGGGTACAAGTGGACATGCTGTCCCATCAAAATGCTTACAATGATAGCCTTCTTTACAATTGCCTGCAATTTGACACTGTTCAGTCGTTATACAATGTTCTCCTTCTCCAGATATACTTTCGCAATTTTGACAAAGAGCTTGTAAAGACAAAGAAACGAGCAGGACTAAACCAAGCAACTTCATGATTTGTTTTAAAGAAACAAAGTTCTTTGTTCTTCTTTTTTATATTGTTTTCATAAAAGGGCTCCTTGAATCCTTTGCCTGGCGAAACAGGGACATACTATCAGGATGGACATTGTTCGGTCTTCTTTCTGTTCAAGGAGTTGCATATTTTTTCAAGTAACAACTATGTATTTTTTTCTTACAAAAGAGCATTTTGTATGATTTCGAATGTTTATTAAAATAATATGAAAATTATATACAATTATCATCATGTGTATGAGCTGTCGTTTGAATACAGCTTATTCTGATACATTTCCATCAGCTGAATCTTCAGCTTCTGAATCATAGTCTTCAGGAACATCACTTTCACTCTCAGGGGCAAAGTCCTCATCAGCTAAAAGGAGTACATATGTGAGAAGATATTGTGCAAAAACAGAAAAAGAAAAAAAAAAGAAAAACACTTACGGCTTTCTTCATCTTCTTCATCCAAGCTACCACCCTTATTTTCCACTCTTCGTCTCTTTCTACTGGCTTCATAATCCTCTCCATCCTCATCATCTTCATCTTCATCCAGATCAGCAAGATCAGTGTATGAAATCACTGTGTCTTCGTTTGCTTCTGTCTTGATCTTAATCTTTCGTTGTTTTAGATAGTCTTCAATATTAGCATATTCCTCACGATTGATGCTAGAGAACTGAATATCTGCACCACTTGTCATGCGGAACTTCATATCAAACGTACGCGAGCTACCGCCTGACTGACCAACACGAGAGAAGGTGACAACACCAATTTCATTGATAGGAATATATGTAGGCGGTTTGGGAATGAACAATAAGCTACGCTCCAATGGATACAAAAAGCCTTCGTTGGCCTTCATTGAACATTTCAAAGCATATGCGCCGTGGTGACTACGATAAGTGCTAGTAGATGTCACCTTTCGGCCTGTTAATGCTCTGAATACATTGCTGACAACTTCGTAGGTAGGTGCATCATAGTGTTTCTGAAGCTTGTTTTCATACTTTTCCTCTAAAACTGAATCTTCCAAATTTAAATCAATATCAATCTCTTCTTCTCTCACAAATTGGAAGACGAGGAATGGATACTTTGTTTGACCTTGACGAAGAGGAGGATCCAAACCGATCTAAGAAAGTAATATGAGACGATGAGGAACCAAGAAAAACAGACACGAACTTACCACAAACAAGACATGAACGTCATCAGGTTTTAACAAAAGGAAGAGCTGAACAATATTGGAGTAAAGAATCTTGTAATCGTAAGTTTTACCACGCAAACGCAAGAAATCTTGGTACATGTCGATGTTGTAACGGCCACGAGGAGTCAAACTCAAAATTTCCTGGAACTGTACAATGTTTTCGGTTGTCATTTGACTGAACTCGAGCTTTGATTTGACCGTTTCGTAAAAGACCATGTCTGCATTCACTTCTTCTTCATCCTCAATACTATTTTCATCATCTCCGGTTTCTTTGGACACTGTACCAGGAACATAAAAGGTGCAGTCCATCAGTTCGTCCATCTCTTTAGGATTGATGCCTTCGGGTGCAGGTTGACCAGGATCTACAAAGTTGATGGCAACTTCATTTTTACCGGGTTTGTTGGTAGCAATGGCTTTGGCAAGAGGCAATTCAAACATCAACTTGTTGCTCACAGTAAAATTCAAGTTGGATCCTAATAGGTATTAGTATATAATGTATATTAACCAACTATTTTTTTACCTTGGAAATCAGCCTTTCCCCAATTCCAGCCTTTAACACTAATCTCCTTTACTTCAAGGTTCAATCGATAGAGTAATTTTAAGGCATCTCGCAGTTCTTCAAAATCCTAAAAACTAATAAATTGCAAGTTCAGTTTTATCTAACAAAATTCTTACTTCAGATTTGAATCCATCAAATTTATGAACCACATTATCTTTCATGGTCACACGCAACTCGTATCCTCGAGCTACTCTCATCCAATTTGTCTTTTTGACATCATCAGGAGAAATAAGCACAGTACGATCACGGGGCCCTTTCCAGCCCATACCGCTTTGTGCTAAACGAAATCGACCTACATCAGCTGATAGACCACAAAAGATGGAATGATAGTCAAATGTCTTTTTATCAGCCATTATACTACGCAAATAAAAAAATAAGAGAAGAAAAAAAAAACCTTTTTTTAAGAGAAAAACAGCGCGCGCTCGCGTCTTTTTTTTCCAAGTACGTCACAATGCAAATAATTCAGACTCCCCACTACTTCATAACGATGTGAGGTTTTCTTTTTTTTTCTTCTTTAATCATGAATTTCTCTCCATATTCTCCTTCACCTGACGAAGATAGAAGCACTCGTGTCAAAAAACAAAAACAGCCTTTGCCGGGATTTAGTTCTTACCAATCAGGTAATCCTGAATCTTTTGCTGAGCAAGGCGTGCTTGGTGTAGGCAGTAGTAGTAGCAGTAGTAATGTAGTTGATGGCAATGGTATTAGTGGTAGTAGCAACATAAATATCAACAGTGTTCGCGTAAACAAGTATGAAACAACAGTGCCTATTCGAGTGGATATTGAGGCTGCCCTTTGTTATCTTTTTGGTCCAATCACAGGTAAAACAATAGGAAAATCCAAGGTCGCTTTGTTTACATTAGCATGTAGGATTGATATTTTTAATACTGGAAACACAAAATGATTATGTTCGTTTTCATGCTTGGCAGGTAAAAAAAAGAAAAGAAAAAACAAGAAAAAGAGAATAACAAGCTGTTAGTCATCACTTGTATTTTCCTCACTGCTGTTTATACAATTTCTCTTATTGTTCATTTCTACCTTTTTATCTTGGATCTTGTTCTTTTTCTCTATTGGATTTTGGCTTTATCTGATGTAAGTTTTATATTCATTGTATGTGCGGAGATTCTAAAAGAAAAAAAGGTACCGAGCTTACTTGGACGGCGTGTCATTAGAAAGATACCAAGTGCCTTATTTTGGAGTTATTGCCTCAGATTGGGTAGACTCTGAATAGCCACACATATTAAAAAAACGATACCTTGACAAAACACATTTATACTTGTAATGAATATTATCATAATGCATATGCTATATTGAAAACATTATACTTTTTTGCTTTTCATAATAAAAAAAGGAAAGAAAAGGGTGGAAAAAGGAAGTGGGAAGGGGGGGCATAATCATTTCAAACTGATCTTTAAAAGAAAAGAGACTTAGTTGGTATAAAAAGATTCTTTTGAAGAACTTGATTTGTTACTATCGTCAAGGGATAAAGAGTTGACAGAAGCAGCTACCGAAGCGATAGCACTTCCTTTTGGTGCCAAGTCTTGAATTCGTTTTCTATTCGCATGTGCTACACCAACGGTATTAATAATTCCAAACAGGGGTCATTCGAGATCAGGTTTCTTACCTTGCTTGATCATCGCTAATCTGTCCAAGTTATCAATCACATCAGTTAACTTACTGATCCATTCTTTTCGTTCTTCATCTGATCCGACATAAAGAACAAAAGATGGAGCTGTACTCACAAAGGTAGTATTTAAGCTATCTACTCCAGCGTGTGAAGGAGTGAGTTCAAAGCAATGAGCAATTCCACCTGCTTCTTCCTTGGATAATGAACGGACCTTGGCTCGATCAAGTACGATATGGCCCTTATACTGTAAACGCGTCGTGCCTTTTTGTTGCATGGGCTTTACGTACACGAGCATATCTGTAAACAGAATATATTTCCTTTCCTCGCCCACTGAGCGGGAACTGAGTGTAACACGGCAGAGGTTACCCTGCAGAATCAATCTGCGTTCCGCTCTTACCGTAAAGGGTGCATCGATAAAGGCTTCATGGAGTCGTAACACCTTGTCAACATTTTGGGCATCAAGCATTCTAAATATACAATGTCAGCAGTGAGTTTTAAAAAGGTATAATTTCTTTTCTTTTTACTTTTCTGTCATCGATTGTCTAAACTGAATGATCCATTGTTTGCATTTTTGTAAGCCGGTGTAATCCGGATGCATGGGTGGCGTAAGATCCGCCAAGTGAGAAATGGTATCAGCATAACGGGCGATACACGAAGCGGGTAATTGTAACAGCGCAAGCAAGTCAACATCTTGTGCAGCCTTGTCTTTATACGTGGCCTAGAATCATTCCTTATTAGAAACAATGGGGCTTTTAAAAGCATAAAGTTGTTTGTTTACTTGCATCAAGAAATTTTTTAAAAGGCTGATATCGGGTGAGTCTTTCATAAGTGGTCAAAGACACCCCATAGTTGTTAAAGTAACTGCGGTAGATCTCCAAATGAGGAAACTTTGAAAACGGTTAGTTTATACATTTAAAAAAGTATTGTTTTTTTTACCCAAGATTGAAATACGTCTGATAAGATTTGAGTAGGGCCCCAAATCTGCATTCTATGTAAAGAAATGAGTATTGTCCTGATTATATTTTTTACAACTTTACCTTTCTTTTAAAGAACTAAGGACCGTATCATGTAATTTAATGATTTCTTCATAGTTTCCAAACAACCAACGATACTCTCTTTCAGTACAAGGTACTTTTTTACTTGTCAAAAAACTAAAGGTGGACTGCTTTGTGTCCTTCCTTAATGGTACTAAGAAGAGCTGTTTCACCAAGTGAAGCGAGTTTGTATAACCTTGCTCTGACCTGATCAATGTATTCACGATTTTTTCTCTATTCCGATGAGTTAACTCATGGTCTGTGTGTGAAATGGTGAGTAAAATAGAAAAGTAAAGAAAAGAAGTGTACCTAGCAATGTTTCATCGATGTCTTCGTAATTTAAGCTATCAATAATATCAAAATCCTGAGATTCGCTAGCAATCATCGAATCACTCAAAAAATGAATGGCAGAGGATGCAGTGGATTGATGATCGATTGAGGATAGTGAAGCTGCTGTCAAAAACCCACTATTCGTATATCGACTACTGCTCGTTCCTGTACTTGAACTTGTAAAACTTTCTCTTGGACTCTGATAGTTTGTCATACTTGGAGGTTTATTATTTGTAAAAAGCCTCTGTTGTTGTTTATCCATGAAATCAAAAAAGTTCTTTCAAGAGATAAAAGTAAAAAGGGAAATGGAAAGGAAAGAAATAACGTATGGAAAAAGTGCGTTAAACACATTTTTATATCATTTAAAATAGGGTTACTTTTTTACACACCATGTATTCATGTTGTGATACCTTAATCTAAATACTAAAATAATCGCTTGATGATATCCTCATTCTGTCACACTCGCTTTTTACTTATTATTAAAAGAGTAAGTTTAGCAATAGTTGTGAATGTTTGATACTGAGTTAATCAAAAGCTTGTGTTTCCTATCAATGCACTCACAAACCTTGTTTTCTATGACTCAGCTCTATTTACCCACTCATATCCATTTCTTTAAATAAATTTTCACCCAATCATTATTTAGCAAAGAGTTACCCTTCCCCCTCTCTTTGAGGAAGATCGAGACAGAATAAAGTGTTGTTTTAAAAAAGATCATTTATAATTTAAAGAATTAATAAGGTATTTGTTTCACTGTGCCAGGATGATCATTTCAGATCAATCAAGGGAAACGTTTCACATAAACACAACACATACACACGCACACTCGCGCACATACACACATTTAACTTGAAAAAAGTGACAAACTAAAGACACTGTAAAGGGTGAAATGCTAAATTCTGTGTTATAATTTATTCTTTCTTTTTTTTTTTTTTTAGTAATTCGCACTAACCATGATTGTAACATAATGGTCTGAGCAGTAGTACAGTGAGCAATTCTACAACCTTATTTTAGTGCCGCTTTAGTAAGTCTAGCATTCTCTCAAAAGTGTCAATAAAAATAATAAAGCAAGGTCAAATGAGGACATAAGCAGGAATAGATAAGCATAACATGTTTTAACTTCTTTCTCCCAAAAAAAAGATCATGCCAGTGTTATCTAGAGTTTTCATCTGATAAATGGGAAGCACAAGTGATCTACAACACATAAACAATGGAGCCCAAGGTTAAGGAAACACCAGATAGAGCAAAGACCCTCTAACTGAGATGAAAATACTATTGAATCACAACATCGTAATACAACTTTTTGATAAATCAGAATTGATAAGAAAAAACAAAACATTACTAGTAAGATGCTTTGACGTCTCTTTGACATCTTTTGTTGAACTCAAAATTCGGAAACTAAATACAAGTACATCCTATTTTTATAGAAAGAGAGAAAAAAAAATTGATAAACTCACGGGCGATGTTATCAGTGCTCACTAAACTAAGAATAGCAACACTGGAACTGATACCATGTGTTTGCTATAGGCACAATAAAGAAAACATTACTTGATATCAAACGCGATAAAGATATTGATTAAATCTAAAAAGCATCGTTTGGAAATTAAGAAAATGTGGAGCAAAAGATAACAGCAAAAAAAAAACGCCTTATAATTCTTCGAAAAAACTATCGTCTTTGATCATCAGGTCTTAGATATCGTTTGCTTGTGAAACAATATCGTTCTAAAGACATCTACTATAGTTAAATCAATCTACAAGATACTTTGGTCAGCTTAAAAATTCTAAGGCTGAAAATACTTGATAGCTTTTTCTTGTCGTTTAGCAATTTATGCCGTCTGAAATAGCTAATGAGTGCGTTAAGATGCAAGTAAATCAGTGTCCTAATTAATGCACGTGTCATCGATATGGGTGTCTTGAACAGTAATGGAAAGTAGTTTCAGTTGTATATCATGTGCAGTTATTAAGCAAAAACGAGCGAGAATAGGCATATGTATCAGTGCTAATCTTGAAAGATTCTCTTCGTAACACGATCAGATAAATACGCTGTGGAATGGTTACTTGTATCTTGGCAACTCTACAAAGGGCCAAAGTAAGTCGAATGTATAAGGTGGCTCTTCTTAAAGAGAACGCAGCTAAATTCTCCGCTAAAATGAACGGGTGATCCAGGGTAGGAGGGACCATGATGGGAAAGTAAGGATATCTTTATCCCCTTGCTTTCTCTTAAACCACGTGAAGATCTTCAAAAGTCTGTTGTACTGATAATAAGCATACTTTGTTTTACTACATAATCTGATGTAGAGGCCCATGTTTGTCCTAAAGGGTACTTGGAAAGCCTCTTCTCAAAAAGATGCCTTCAGACAGCAGATGACATTACCGCGCTGTTGAGGCTGAAGTCATCTCTTGCTGAAGAAAAAAAAGAGAAGAGAAGAGAAGAAAAAGTTAACAACGCGTGCTATTTTCAGCAGAAGGCTCTCCTATAGCTTTTCCTTTAATCCTTAGACACTAGATATATCGAATATTGAAAGGGCTTTAACTCATATAGCTTGCTTTTGTGTGTACACATTTTATGAACAAATAGCAAAACATCATACCAATATGTGAGTACTCAGAGCAGTGATTGATCGAATATATAGCGATAAAAAGTAAAAAAGCCTTCAGCTCTTTAAAGATGTATAGAGAAGGGGAATATCGACCTTCTAGAACATTTTCCAGATAATCTAAAAGAAAGCTTTTACTATGAAAGCTACTGAGCTTGCTTGATATTCAAAGCAAATGCAACATAAAGTCATTAATTGATATCATTGTGTTTTTACTATATTCAAGATGAAACAGGACACTTTGGGGGTTATCAAGTCAAAGCTGCAGGTGACAAGCTCAATTTTGGTCTAAAAGTGACTACATTCAAGAAAAATAAGCCAATCATTTAGGCTTCGGTATTACTATTTCCTTGTACCATTTTTCTCTCCTTCTCTCCTCTCTTTTTTAATATTAAAAAAAAAAACAAGTCATTTTTTTTCTCTCTTTACATACAAATAATAGAAGCAATAAAGAAAAGAAAGAAAGAGTGAAGGAAAAGTATATAATTAAATTATGGATGAGGATCAAGGTGAAATCAATATGAAATAAAATTCGTCCTTTATTCATTTTCCTTGTAGAAATTTGTAGGGTCTGTAGAAGTGAATCTACACCTGACCATCCTTTGTATCATCCATGTAAATGTTCTGGAAGCATTCGTTTTGTACATGAAGACTGGTAAGATCTTTCAGCTCCTTCTTTACTTTATTCTCAATATATATATTCTTGTATAGTCTTATAGAATGGTTATCTCACAGTAAAAAAAAGTAAGGAGTTATCAGATGTATATACGCCTCAAAAGGAGCACATAAAGATACAAAGACAGAGAAGCTAACCTTCTCCCCCTGTATGAATAGATACTGTGAACTATGCGAATATCCATTTCAGTTTTCGCCCATTTATCGTGCCGATATGCCTGAAAAAGTACCATTGTATGTATTATGTTCACAGCTCATTCAGCGCCTCATGTATTTGTTAAAGACCCTGTTTCGAAGTATCATCGTCATTTTTGTCTGGCTTGTCATCTTGCCCAATTTTACACTTTGGACTTGGCGATTTTATTTTTGGAGTGGTGAACATATTGGTTTCAACACAATCAAATCATCCAATACAACGATTACATCAGAGGATAAAGTGACATCAAGTGTGCTAAAGTAAGAATAAAAAATCATACTTAGTGGGGAAGAGTACTGACAGTTTGAAAATAGGAGTTTTTTAAGCGACTGCTTCGAAGGACAGATTATAACAGCATTTGTAGTCATTATCTTTGTAGCAGCTTACTTATTTAGAGAATGGGTTATGCAAAATTTACCTGCAGACCGCAACAATAATAACTTTGAACCCGTTGTCGTTCAAGAACAACAACAACAACAAAATCGTGATGAACAGCAGTTAGTACAGGAACAGGTTGCAATTGATACTTTGCTGAACGTCGTGCAAGTCATGAACCCACCCACGCCTGAGCGAAGACATGATCCAGAGAATGAATATATTCAACATTTGGAGCATCAGCTGGGTGGAATAAGAAATGAAATTGAGAACGAGCTGAATCATAGACATCACCGTCATTCAACAGAAAGTGCTGTGCACTGGCTAAATCATCCAGAAGAGGAAGAAGAGGGTGACAATGATCGGCTGAATGCTTTGTTCGCTGGATCGTCCTCTCGACCTTCCTTTATGCTTGACTCTGATCAGCATGGACCTCAAGAAGAAGGTACACCCGAAACAGAACATGACGAATTCCTACCACCATTCTATCAGCATCGACCTGAAGTGCTGGCAGGAAGAGACCTTCATCTTGATGAATTAGATGTAAGAAGAGAGGAAGAGTTCCATTATCGCCGTCACTTTCAACAGATGGACAATGCTATTTTTGAACGACCTCGAGCCCCTCGTAACCCGATTGTACCCCCTCCACTTCCGCCGCCACCACCTGCTGAAGATAACGAGGAACCATTTGAAGTTGCGGACGATATCAATGGTGTATTAGAAGCAATTGGCATGCGAGGCAACCCTTGGATGCTAGTACAAAACTCTGTACTCATGTCACTGATGATCAGCCTGTGCCTCGGTCTAGCGGTTTGGATCCCTTATGTGGTCGGACGTCTGGTGATTATGATTCGACCTATCAGTTTTATCGAAACACCTATTTATATACTTCGATTTATTACAGATCCACTTGTCGATTTTGTGCTGGATACATGTCTTCCTTATGCTTGGTCAGTCACTGAAGTCTATTGGAAACAGTTTGTGCCAGAACCCATTCAAGTCACTGTCAGCTCAGTTTATGATGAACTCTCTAAAGAACCCTCTGTTTTACAAGCGACAAATGGGGCCTCCAGCCAAGGCTTGTTCGATTTGACATTCATTCAGACCCAACTGGAGGAGACGGGTAGACGAGCCCTGGAACGATGGCATCAGTTTGCGCTTGGCCAAACCGTTTTGGACCGTAGCATGTGTATTTTGGTAGGTTACTTTGTGTTTATTTGTCTTGGATCATGGTACTTGGCCCATGGAAGACGCCGTGGCTCATCCAGAACGGCCGTACAAGACGTCATTCGACAGCAAGGCATCTTTCTCAAAGTTTTATTCTTTATCGTGATTGAGCTCGTTGTCTTTCCAACCGTCTGTGGTTTCTTGCTCGATCTGGCTACACTTCCTCTCTTTGTGAACGCTTCGATCGAGTCACGATACATGTTCCACTTGAAGAGCCCATACTCTTCTTACTTTCTGCACTGGTTCCTTGGCACAGGTGTATTGTTTTACTTTGCCATCTTTATCACTGTATGTCGAGAAATAATCCGACCTGGTGTGATGTGGTTTATACGAGACCCCAACGACCCTCAATTTCACCCAGTACAGGAGATGGTAGAACGACCCTTACCGAATCTCTTACACAAGATCAGCCAGTCTGCGCTCATTTATTCCGTTATGCTCGTCTTTGGGGTCGGTACTGTGACTTATTCGCTTGCCTATACCGGTGCGGTGTTCCCTCTGCGATTGCCGTTCAATAAGCCTCTATCAACGCTTGCAGTTGATCTGCTGATCACTCAGTTTTTGGTACCGCCGCTCGTTCAGTTTATGAATCCCCGAGAGAATTCAAAGCGGGCACTTGACCTCTGGTGGCACTTTGCCTCTCGTCAGCTACGTCTCACGTCATTTATGTTTAATGTCCGTATGCCAGACGAAGAAGGTCGACACGTTCGAAAGACGCTTAAGGCATGGATCTTGCGTGAAAAAGCTACGATTCCGACAGACGAGTTTTCAGACGTTGGTATTGATGGTGACGACAGTGTTGTCTTCAAGAGAGATGGTATGCTTGTGCGTGTGCCCAAATATGACAGTGTACCTGTTGACCCCAAACGTCGAATGCTGGTGCCCGTAGACCCTGTGACTTTAGAAGCAATTGATGAGGAAGAGAGAAGAAGAGGACATCCTGCAGCGGCTGATACAGGAGATGAGTCACAATCGACGATTGTTGTTTATGTTCCACCTCACTTTAAACTTCGAGTAAGTTTGGGCGTGTTTAAAGAATGAAAAAACTAATGCTTTATTTAGACAATTATTTTCCTATTGTTTATGTGGTTCTCTATCTCGCTTTTTGTTTGCTCAGTCACAGTTGTACCATGTAAGTGTACACAAAATAATAATAATGATGTTATGATGAATTGATGTATTGTGATGACAGTACTTGTTGGAAGATTCTTGTTTAAAGTCTATCTCGCGCCGCAAGCGGGTGTCGTCAACGACCTTTACTCATTTGCCCTTGGCTTGTACTTAATGATGTGTATTGGGTATCTTACTCATTGGCTGTACCAGTCCTACGTTGCTTACTCAACTAGAGGGAGCGCTCAAACCGAACAATGTTTAGCATATATAAAAGAAAAGGGAACCAAGGTATGTCCTGAAAGGAAAAAAGGAAAAAAAAGAAGCGAATGGGGTGTACTGATACTGTTGTATAGGCAAGCCGATACATTTATCTGATTTCGACGCTTGCCGTGATTATTCCCCTCTTGCTTGGTGTTTCAGTTGATTTATTTGTATTTATGCCGATCCGAATCCATCACTCAAGTGGACCCATCGTCATCAGCCTATCACAGGTAACGTGTAAAAGGGAAGAGAGTGCGTATACTAATGGAGACATAGGATTGGGCGTTTGGTATAGTGTATATGAGTATTATCTATCATACAGTGCATTTATTACCGACGACGAATGCAGTTCGACAATATATGGATCAGATCTTTGGCAATAACATGATTCAAGCAGACTTGAATCTAATCACAAGAAAGGTCATTGCTCCCGTGATAATAACAACGTTACTCGCGATTATTACGCCTGGTGTAATATCTTTTTGCATACTCTATATTATGGGTAAGTATCGGTTTATAGGCGATAACGAGAGGCCTAATGGAATTATAGGTACATCAAGAGATCCTTCATACCAACTTTTGGTCACGAGATACACTTATCCCAGCATATTTTGTTTAATGATTACAACTTCACTTTGTCTTATATTCAAAAAGCTGTTTAGTATTTGGATACAAACAGTAAGGGATGATACATACTTGATCGGTAAAAAGTTACATAATTTAGAAGAATAAGTTCTTCTTGTTGTTATTATTATAGATTTGTATATTTCTCTTTTTTTCTTGCTTTCTTTTTGAAAATAAAGCAGCATTGCATATGTAGTACACTTTGATATAACACAATGTGTATCCTCGTGATATAAAGTATAATAAATGAATCATTCAACATTTTTATCCTTTTTATGCGGATGAGTGTACCTCCCCTTCTTTACTAAATGTAAAGTAAGAAGAGAATACATAATATAAAGTAAGGGCAAGATATAAAGTAAAAACAGGGATGTTTTGAATCGCTCTAATTCATCTTGATCACTTGAACAATAAATGTGTGTATCTATCTTGTTCATAAATACGAACCCCATGACATTTACTGAACTATAAAAGTGTTTTCTCTTATTTTTTATTTTTTTATTCTTCTTCTCTCTTTTCTATTACCAACACTTTTTTTTATATTTTAATCATGAGCGCAGGACCTAAATTAGGTGTGATGCATCATCCACACAACAGTAATAGAACTCGAAATGATATAGAAGATAACAGTATTAATTCGTTTCGACTACTATCTCCACCTACGGACTACTGTCACTACTCAAGAAAGCAGTTTGTTAAATCGTTCACATGGCTTGTGTTCTTGAATGAAAAATGGGTGCCTTTTGATCCTATCAACCAAACCAAACTTGAACACACCTTGACGGTTGAAGGGACCTTTGTAGACATCACAGACAGCCACTTTCCAAACGTGAGACGAGTTCGAGTGTTTCCAAAAAATAATTACCTTAGTTATCTTGGCGTCAAGTATCGGTTATCTCGGATAATGCAGCCGGATGCTTATTTGCATTTAACTAATAGTAGTCATGACAACAGTTGTCATAGCAATAGTAGTTATAGTAACAGTAGCAGCAGCAGTAGTAGCAGTAGCAATAGTAGCAACAGTAGTATCAGTAGCTTGATTAGTAGTTATACCAAAAATGAGCCAGTAGGAATATGTAGTGTAGGAATCTAAATAATTTCTTTTTTATACATATATATAAATATATACACATATATTGTAATTTATTACTTTAATAAACATCCTTTCTTTTTCAACTTAAACGTATATCAATGCATATTTAAAATAGAGTAAAGAAAAATCAGTTGATCTCGCCATGGATGACCTTTCACACAACTCACAGGATGGTAACAGGTGGTCTATGCAACCCTTTATTTGGTATAACAGATCTTCGCCCTGTTGCCCGCCAAAATGGGAGATATAAAAAAGGCAACGTAAAGTACACAATAGGATCATAATTTATCCTTTTTACCAAGGCCTATGCTCTTGTCTATTACGTAAGCTCGTAGGCGAACCTCCTTTAAACTTTACACAAAACAACGTGGTAATGGTTTGTGGAACATTAAAAATCGTGTCTATGTTTATTTTAAGAAGAGAATATTTAGATTTGATTGGTTAAATAAATTTTTATCCGGTGTCATTGCATCATGCAAACTCGATACCAAAAAAACCAGAGATAACCGAATTGCCATGTGTGTGTATGTGTTTGTGTGTTTGTACTAACAATGTAAAAAAGTGTGTGCAAATAAAAAAAACGTGTAAATAGCTTGTAACCAAATTTGTTAATCGATTATTACTATCGGGACTTGCCAAATCAAGGAGCCTAGAAGTCAACTATTTAAGCACACACATCCACACCACACGAATGGAATAGGATCACTCTTTCTTTTCTTTTTTTCTTTTTTAATATTTTTATATAAGCTATGAATACCAATTTTACCCAAAATGATACCACAAGCAAGAACAACAACAATAAGCCCATTGAAAAACCTAAGCGTAAACAAGTAAAGAATGCCTGTGGTAAGTGCGTTTTTATAAAATATAAAATTAAAATCTAACGTATTTTCTAGTCAACTGTCAAAAGGCTTGCAAGAAATGTGATGATGGTAGACCTTGTAAACGATGCATCAAGCTTGGTTTGACCGCTACCTGTCGAGACTCTGATCGTAAAGAACGTAAAAAGGGTGTCAAACGTGGTCCTTATAAGAAACGACAAACATTGAGTAAGGACAAGCCTGTCTATCCTAAACTGATCTTGGAAGAACAGGAACATCCTCCTCAAGTGATGGTACCTAGCCAAACAAATGCTACGAACTGGCCAAATGAATTCATTGGTTATAATCAACCCATTTTATCTTTATCACCAACCAGTAGTTTTGCTTCTTCGGATGAAACGTTACACTACGCATATGGATACGCAGACAACACCTTGCAACCAATTATTCAAGATGATTTTATACCATTTGAACAACAATACTGCTTCTCGACCCAACCCACCTCATTTGAAAAATTATTGTCAGTACAAGAATATGAATTGAATTTATTTGAAGAACCTTCTTACTGGTACCCTGTACATCATACCAATACTTCATCATCATTCACTGCATCACCTTCATCCTCATCATTCTTTACTGCATTCCCTCAAACACAACCACAGCAACAAGAAGCATATTTTGATTACAATCATACATTTCAACAACCTCAACTCTTTTCATGGTCATAATTCACTTTCATTTTGCTTGCATTCATTTCTTATAGAATAGTATTTACCAGCCTTTTTTTTTATAGATTTTTGCTCTTTCTATTGTTTCTATGTACTTATGCCCCTTTTTTTAATCATTCTCTTATACTTTTATAGACACTTTATGCTATTTATAATTAATTTTTACGCTCTTGATTAACTAATAAAAAAAAACTCCCTTATTAGACAAAGTAATCGTTTATCTTTGCTTATCACCACTAAATTCTTTGCTTTTCCTTTTGTCGTGTCACTGACAACGCCATTAATTGATTAGGGAGATGTTCCTGAATTGAACCCCACGGTCACACTATTGTTCCTTAACAAGTCATTTCCCTGTTCATAATCCCTTTACCAAAAGCGTATCTTGGTCATGAAAAAAGGAGAAGGGGCTAAATGTACTTCGATCCATAATAATCATCATAAATTACCTGGCTTATGTTATCAAACCAATCATTTAAAATAGAAATAAAGTGTTACTTTTTGTTGTGAGAAATTCACTAATAGAATCTCAAGTTTTATTAATATCTCTAAAAATAGACTATTGTTTTTATAATCAAGCAGCAACAGCTCTATTATAGTTTCCTTTTCTATTAAACAATCCGCAGCCACGCTTCCACCAGCAGAGATAGCTTGTAAGGGCAATGACAAATAAGACAACAATAACAATAACAGCAATGAGCCATCCAGGGAATTTCTTGCCACGTGTAACCTTGGGTCTTGGCTGAGTGATTGTGACATAAGGAGGATCAGAGGCATTTGTACTCAACTGATAAGCAATTAGTCCCTGAAAAGGTGCATTATAATCCAAAGCAACTTCAGTCTGTGCCCAATCATTACGTTCATCAAAGAAGAGATCGTCTCCGTCAGGTCCTCCGACGATAGCACCATACAAAACATACTTTTCTTCAGGTGGTGAAGTATCAATATTGTTGATGTCTGTGCCACCTGAGGCACCTGCATGGTGTGGGTTACGTGGTGAATTCATATGAATGCCAACGACATAAGGAGTCAGCATATAATTTTTTCCGAGAAGGTAATCAATCTGGCCCTGAGCAAATCTCCTGTAACTATCCGCACGAGTCGAGTCCAGTTCGGCGTAGAGGAGCGCCAAGAGAGCCATGTCTTGCGCAGGTACAAGAGAATTTGACTTGCTGTACCCGTCACACCAAAGTAAGCCTCCCTTGGTAAACGTGCACGGGGATCCTGATGCGGTATTGATAATCGTGTCCAGTACTTTTCTAGCAGCATTGGCATACTTTGTGTTGCTGGAGTCTAATTCGGCTCCCAACACAAAAACAGCGTTTGTCTGATCACTCCAGTCCAAGACACCGACAGGCTGACTACCTAGTGCAAACTGATCAAAGAAATTAGATGCCATGTCGCGGTAGGTAGAGTTGCCAGTGGCCTTGTACATCCATAGGGCGGCATATGTAAGTTGGCTTGTATAGTTGTTGGTGTTGTAAAACTCGGCGATGGCAGGTATTGCTTTAGTATATACATTTCTGGGTTGTGCCGTATATGCCAAGTTGAATAGTGATACTGCATTTTGTAATAGCTTATTCGAGTAGTCTGTGTCATTTAGTCCATTCTTGTAGAGGAATGAGGCTGATGCTAAAGCAGCAGAGGCAAGCGCCACAGCATCTGTACCAACAGCGGTTCGGTTGACTTGATATGAAGGTCGTGGCGTTGGAATACCTGTGTCTGGTCCCCAGTAATTGTTATCTATATCTCCATCACCAACCTATTTTTATAAATGGGTTAAAAATAGAACGATATTTCATAGTCAGTCCTGTTCTTGCCTGCACATAAAACGTATTGTCATCAGGGTGAGCTTGTATTAACCAGTCTAGACCCCACCTGAGCATAGAGTCCAGATAATGAACTTGATTTGCTTTTTGGTATCCATCAAACCAGACAGAGGCACTCCATGCAATGCTAGTTAAAGAGTAAGCGAGTGGCAAACTGAACTTTAAATAGTCACTATAGCGACAATAACAATGACTTAGTCTATGATAGCTCTTTGTGGTTAGGTCTCTTTATTTACCCAGCGTCATAGTAACCACCAACGAGGTTGACATTGTTGTCGCTGCCGTCATTTAAAGCGGAATCATGTCGCCTAAATATAAATTGTATGTCAGTTATCCATTTTACCGAGTTAGTCTCAGAATTAATTTTGGTTACCAAGGAACTCTATTATCGGAAGGTAATTTGCCACTTCGCTGGGCCTCGTAAAACCATAATGACACATTCATTAAGTTGGCATAATGAACATTACCAGTAACTCCAGCAGGGTTACTAGGACCATCTGGTATCCAGGTACTATTATCCTGCGCCAATACTGCCGAGGATATAGCTACTGTCGCTATCAAAGTAGAGAATAATCGCATGTATTTTTAATAAAAAAAAAAAAGCCAAGAGAAGTGAAAAAGAGATGAAAATAAAATGTCAAAGCCCGTCTTTATTTTTGAAGCAAAAGAAAGAGAAAATTTACCAAAATAATACAATTGCGGATTAAAACCCAATGGAATTATGCACGCTTTCTTTTTACTCATTTTTCTTGGTTTCTTTTTGTCCCGCTTTCAATTGCCGTAACCTTCGTTCGTCTACGCGTTGAAGAAATTCGACTTTTTCAACGTAGCCATCTTTATTCTTGTATGTTAGCTCATCCTTAATGCCTTCCTTTTCTACAAACGTCTTCCAATCTAGTTTACTCTTTTCAAGCGTATTCATTTTTGGCACTTTAATGTTATATTGAGACACCAATGAGGACAGTGTTGATTTCGGTCGAGCAATCTTGGGTTTCGTCTTGGGTTTTTCTGGTGTATCATTATTATTACTATCTAGTGGCTTGCTTACATCTTGTTCATTGTTATTATTATTATTATTATTATTTGTCATAGGTTTTTTTGTATCCTTAATATCATTCCAGAGTGCTTCAATCCTTGCCTTTTTGGCTTGAGGGTCTTCCTTTTCATCTTCTAAAGGTCTCTTGGCGGATTCTCTTTCAGCCTTTTCTTTAGTGTCTTGATCTTCTTCATCTGATTCCTCAAATTCTTCGTTTTCCTCTTCTTCTTCCTCGTTATCTATAATTGCTATATTAGTTTATAAATTCTATAAATACATTCTTGGCACCAAACCTTCAGGTACAAAGTCAGAATCTTGTTCTTCGTCTTCTTCTTCTGATGGATCCTTGTAGAGATCTTGTAAACTGTACTCTTTTTTATCTGTGGACATACTAAAAAAGAAAAGAAAAAGAACAATTAAAACTCAGTTGCCATTCCAAAAAGTAGCGTCACAGCTTTGATGTCATTTGATGCGTACTACACAGACACACTACAGCTTACGCCACCTTTTTAATATGCAGGCACAAATGTAGTGCACGCACTACAAGAAAATATCCTGCATTTGTAAAATCAAGCTTTATTTATTATTATGATATTTGTTGAACATAAAAAGTGCTAAACGTAAAAGCCAATGGGACAAAAGAATAATGTACTTATAAGCAAATGTCCTATTGACTTATATATGGTTACTGATGCTTAAGGATCTTACTTTTCTATACTTTGTGGAGGTTTTTCATTTAATATCAAAGTGTTGCCCTTGCAGTTATACCTCAGTGAGGCTTCTAGACCGTTTATATAGGTAAATCTCTAAACTGATATATGTTATGTATACGATGTATCTAGTGTGTAAATACCACAACTAGATTTACCCGTTGAAGAAAAAGTATATATAGAGGAGGATTTTTCATACCAATAAGGGCATCATATTCTTGTTATATCTTTTCTATCAAAAAGATATACACAGTTCTAGCAATACTTCTGTCTTTTTCTTATTTCTACCCTACGTATTTCCATTATCCCAAACATCTTTATTGATCGTATTAAAAAAGTTTAATTATAAAAACCTTTCTATAGAACATTCCTAGTGACTATCTGTTGAGCTTGCTGTTGTTGTTTTATCCAATGGCTGTGCCTAAAGAAAGAATGGTTATGGTATGAACTTTAGTGTACGATGGAGACTGTATTCCTCTTGAAGATTGATAATCTTTTCACGTAGTTGACTAATCTAACAGTTCAGTGAAATATGTTTCCAAAACAGAACAAGCAGTTACACTAACCTGAATGCCCCTTTGTATAAGAACTTGAATTTTTTTCTTCTTAAGCTAAAACTATGCACGAAATTGGAAAAGTATGATATTTTATATTAATCTATCATTATTTATACAAACTACATGTAAGCTGTTGTTAATTTAAATCAGATTCCAACAAAAAGTCATGCATCTCAATTGATTATACTCCTTGATACACTAATTTCTGTAGGATATTCAAATTTAATAAAAGCTATAAGCATCGAGGGAATCGAGGGTATGTGTATTCGAACAAGCGAATAGCCCTGAACAATGTTACCGACATGATAATCGGTAAGCTAGATAAAAAGAAAACCAATTCCGTCTATGCTGGCTTATAAGTCAAACAAGAAGAAAAGGAAGAAAAAAGAAAGGAGTATCTGTCAGTGGCTGAAGAAGATAGACGATGTGTAGTTACATATGGGGATGCATCTATTTCTGCGACGATGAAGTCAAGAGCCCCAATTCCAGTGAAGGTAATTATTAATGTTATGTGGTTATTACTGAATTTGGACAGCTAACTTATTGATCTTCAAGGGGATCCAAATGGCAATTTCAAAGAAATGTTTGGTCATTAAAGTAGATGAATACAGAACGAACATAATGCGTAGTAGCTGCCATGGTAAACTTCAGAAGGTTTATGAGCCAGAAAACGCTTTGATCTGTAATCACAGGTATGACTTTATTACGTTTATCTAATGTTTTAAGAATGACTAATATAAACTGTTTATAATGAAAGAAAAAGTAGGTTAAGCTGTTTAGGATCCGATAAAAAAGTAATATGCAAGAGCAGCGAATGTGTTGAGCGCAGAAATCCAGATACTTGACAAGAACGCTTAGAGTGACAAAAGATTAACAAGCAGTAAATATAGAAAGATGTATCAGCATCTACCCATTGAAAGTATGTCACTACTGTTCAATTGGTGATGAGTCAGAGTAAGATTATTTTTATCTGATCAAGAACTCCAAATTAACGATACTCGAATAGGTCTGGAATCGAGACGTGGATGCAGCAAGAAATATCCGTTCAATATTGACAAATTATATTTCTTCTAATTTTAACATTAAACCAAGACCAGAGTCGCTTCAGAGAGGCACACGAGCTGTGCAGAGCCTTTAAAGCAGGTCATCCAGCCTTTTCATTAGGCCAACTAATTTAGTAAGTGGAAAAAACCAAAGAAAAAAAGTGACGTAACTAATATCATTTTTAGGGCGTGCACCTAACATTAGTCTCATTTCATCTGAAATCTGGCCACTCTTCTTTTCCCCCTTTTTGCGCGTTTTTATGCAACATATAAAACATGTAATTTCAGTTCTTTGTAAATAAACGCATATATTTTTAATACCTGAATAAATAATACAAAGATATAGGGATCATAGCAATGATTTCATAAAAAGAAGTGCTTTTATTCGGACTTTTTTGGGGGCTCCTAAAAGACTTGACATAAAGCTGCCTTCGTGCTGGAGGCGTTCCAGGAGTGGCGGCTTTCATCAAAAACTCCAAGCATTATTTGGAGGATTTATCCACCAATTCCTAGTATTCTTGACAGTTAGTAAAGCAAATACAATTATCCATTTGGTATTAAAATTTAACCTTCAGAGTGATCAACACGTTAAAGCACTGGTCCAAACGACTTAGATCAAGATTGGAATGAGGAATTAAAAATTCGCCAATCTCAAATAGTCTATACGTGTGTGTATAGACTAAATCCATGGCGTATACCGATGCCTTGTGTCCTAATTACAATGTAACTTTCAGTTTATCTTGTGTAAAAATATCCCTAGCCCTTCACTTACCGCCAATAAGCATTCCAAAGACTGGGATTTCGGTAGGGCAGTCTTTCGACAGCAAATGGTCAATCTCATCCTTCAGCAAGTTACAGAGTTTTGTAAAATCAGGGTGATATATGTGATCCTCTGTAACTATTTTAGGACCCTTGACTTCAACGTGGATTATTTGCTGTTCATAGTCGTTGTAAATGACCTTATATCCTCCATTTGACTTACGGCCTAGTCCACCCTTTCTTGTTTTGCTCCCCAATGCTTCTTCGTTGGGACTAACAATGAATACAAATTTAAAGTTAATTCACCTAGTTTGTAAAATGTATAAATAACCTACCCAAAATAAGCGAAATGTTTGGTCTCTTTGAAGAAAGACGACAGAAGAGGAGTGACAAATCTTGCTCTGATACAACTACCATAAAGTACGAAGGACTTGCAAAGATTTTCAAAAAACTGCTTGAACTTGTCTGCTGTGAAGTGGCTATGGTAGTCTGCATTCATATCTTTACCTTTATTTACTGGCCACACAATAATGATACCATGTATCATGCTTACTCTGCATTTACGCTCATCCTCATGTACAATTAATGCTGAGAATATAACTAGCATAGGTTTCCTTCCGCTTTCGTTGACAGTGCCATGTGAAGGAGCCCAAGTTAAGCGAGCATGATGATCCAGGTGGCAATGTGAATCATCTGAGAATATCTCAGGTTGCTCTGGATAATTGCTGCCGTTAATATTCTGCAATCTTTCATTTGCGAACAAGAGTCTGTCATTCACATTTATAGGTGCATCACAGAGTATGTTTTGTCATTCTCCTTTTCTGTATTTCATACCCAAGGCATGAAGGTCTCTCAAAAGAGCTTGATTCAATACTTCTATACGGCAACCTTCTTTTATAGTCTTTGCTATTTTTGCAACAATGTTTGGGCACCCTATTTCGTTGTTCTACGAGATAACTTCTTTGACAGTTGAACTATATTCCAATTCAATTTGATGGTTATGACGACCCATTTGTGATACGTCTTGAGTAATAAAGAAATGATAAAGGAAAATGTATGTCGATAATTCTCTATATCAAACAAAGAAAGGAAGCTTATTATTTACAAACAGTGTCATTTTATATGAAAATAAGAATAAGAACCGAGTATGTCGCATTATACATGATTAACGTAATTTGTATTATTTATTCTTTAGAATATAGATTTATAGTGATCTCATACGATTAAGTCTTTATAAGATAAATACGGCAATATTAATGACAAGCTGGAAGCGCACGAAAGAACGACTCTTGCACTCAATCCCTAAAGAATAAACCTCCAAAAAGACCCTTTATTCCTGCAAGACATTCAGCTCCAGATGAATGGAAGAACAGATACTGATATGGCGTTATGCAATAATCAATGCTATAATTTTACTCTGAAAGAACTATATTGATAAAAAACTAATACTTTATTCAGGCTGAAGTACTGTTTTATTAAAAATAAATTTCAGAAAGAGGATAATTTTTTTTTTTGTAGGGGCGTTTTTAGCCAAGCTTTATTTTTTTAAATAAATAAAATAGCCACTTGAAATCAGTGGTGGACTATTGAAAGACAGAACTACTAAAGAAAATTAACAAATATAAAATTAATGCTTGAAGGATTCCAGGCAACCTATGATAGCCTGAAAAACCTTGGATGGGATAAAAGGATGTCCATTGAAAATAAACATTCAGTGTGCACGCCAGATGCACCAAAAGGCGCAACCGACAATACTTTCATTAGAGAAAGCAGAAAGTTTTTGAGGAGGAAAACGTAAATGAAATATTGCTT